AGTTCGCTCGCGAGATTCGAACCTTGGAACGAACTACCAGTGTTCAGGGACCTTTACCTCTAGGCCGTTGCTGGGCCGAAAATTATGTATGAAGTGGAGCAAAAAAAGAGGGGAAAAACAAATACGAATGCAATGCATTTATGCTCTCTAAAATCATAATATATTCCAAAGACTCAGGAGACCAAAAACGCCACCTGGCGGCTGGCAACATCAATTTGTATGAAACTGTTAGCACGAAACGTACTATAAAAAATGTCAAACTATAGTACTGCAGTTGCGGAGCTGTATAATTATTCTAAAATGTTTATTTTGTTGTATTTGTTATCAAATCATTATTAATTTATAGCTTAAAGGGGCAATTTGCACAGAAGAGCTATTAATTTCGTTTTGGCATTTCGGTCAGCTCACTATAAATGTTGGTTGACTTTTCAAATTGTTGCCATCAAATATTAGAGTCCTGCATTATATTTAAAGAAACTAAATAATGAAGAATCTGCATTAATGTACGTATATTTATCGCACTGTGAAAAAACAATGGTAGCTAGAGACACCTAGTTTTGAATATGGGCATCTAGAAGCCCGAATTTAGAATTTGAAATTTGTTTTATTATATATTTCATATTTTATCAAACATTAAAGAATTTTTGATTAAAAAACTCAACGATTTCAAAATGAGCAATGGCAACACTGTTATCTCCAGCAGGCGAGGCTCTGTATTGGAAATTCTAAAGATATACTCTTTTAAATATTTTATGATATTGCTGAATCGAATTTTATAATTTCAGTGCGTAGAACGTGATATTTAATAAGGTAGCCACAAAACATTAAAAAAACGCCCCTTTTGTGCGTAAAATCTGAAAGTTTTCAAATTTTTCTTTTTTGGTATTTAAATGTTTTTAATTTACCGAAAATTGCAAATTATGTATCAGTTTAATATCTCCTAAAAGAAAACTGAAGTGGCAACTTCGTATTTTATATTTGGTTTTGATAACAGCAAAAAGGTAATCATTTTGGAATTGCTTTTTAGAAGAGGTGAATTGTAAATAATAAATTAATTGATTCAAGCTATGTCTCTTTTCATTTTTGAGAAGCTTAATGTTGTCAGTACGTGACACTGTAATGTCTTCAGCGAATGTAACTAAGCATTAAAAAAACGATAAATACGTGTCTATTTCAATCAGATGTAACAGATTATTCCATTTCTTAAATGATAGTAAAAGCTATATAAAAATAATCGGACCGCATTCGAGACTTTAGTGTAGTTACTAATGTATAATTCATGTAGGGAAAATAACGGCTTGTACGTTACCGTTTTCTTTGATTATGCTTTAAGATATCATTCCATCCATATTTCTACCTCTACATATCAACTCCATTGTTTCGCGACCTCCACTTTTTGTCAGACGAACGAATCGTTCCACCGAAGAACTTGCATCGAAATCGGGTCACGCGATTTGTCACCCATTTCGTAGTGTTCCTGCTTCCTTTTCTCCTTTGTTTCTTTGATGCCAACGTGTGTGTGTAAATTTATATATATATATATTTCTGTGCTGACAGAAATGTGTAGCATTAACTGCTTTTAGTTTTTCGTGACGCTATCGTGCTTTTAAGGTTGATGTACGTAACACACCATTCTTTTTTTTTCTTTAGTCTCTATTGTTTTAGCCTCTCTTTCTCTCTGTCTTTTCTTTTTCTTTCTTTCTTTTTCTTTTTTAATAATGCTACAGGCAACAGCTAGCACCCATTGTGAAACAATGGCTGTCGTGAATCTGTGTTGTTAGATTTATAAAGTAGTATATTTGAAACATGCGTTGAGAGGGTATGGTATATGACGGCATTTTCGAATTTCTGGAGCGAAGTGATTTGATCAGAGAATGTCTGGTGACCGAAAACATAAATATCTTTAATTTTCTTTCCTTAATGTAGAACTAATGCGAAATTTCATTAATTTGATATATTTGGCAAACATTAGAAAGATTATTTTGTAAATTAATTTGTGGTTTATTTTGTAAATTAATATTTCTGTGGACATAACTATATTGTTTTCTTTTTGCTGTGTTCACATTCATTAGGTGTTTTTGAAGCAGGAGACATGTAAAATGAGCAATGCTCTTGCCGGGATTCGAACCTGGACCTCTCGAATATGTGCCGAGTGTGCTAACCGTTACAACATGAAGGCATGCTAGAAGGAGGAGAAAATGTCAGCTGTTTCGAAATAACTGCTGTAATTAATAATTTTTTATTAAAACATCAACTTATAAGGTATTTCTCTCGTTTTCTTAGCGTGCCTTCGTGGTGTAGTGGTCTGCATGCTTGACGCATATTCCAGAGGTCCGCGGATCGATTCCCGGCGAAGGTGTTGCTCATTTTTCACTTCTTTTGCTTTCAAAAATAAATAAATAAATAAATAAAATCCTAATGTCTCTGCAAACGTTATAACAAACCGTATAAGTTCTTTTTATTTTGGTGTGTAGGCTGACTGGATACAAATATTTATCAGAGTTATGATTTGTGGAGAATATTTGTTACATATTGAATAAGAAGAGACTCCAAATGTTATTATGTTATATTAGGCTCCAAATGTTCATAGTTTAGAGAAGATTTTTTTTTTATTATTATTAAGGGGGAGGGGGTGACTGCTGAAGATTTTCGTGACTTCCTTCATATTTGTAATGTAAATACTAGCCGATTTCTTCTAGAAAGTCCTCCATAAAGCATCCCTGTCCAGTGATTTGCGTTGAATAAAATAATCCAATTCGTGTAAAATAAACATATGTGTAATTTTTAATGAGTTTAGTTCGTAGCTTCATAATTGAGTTATTTATAAAACAACTCAAAATAATAATAATAAACGGATCAGAAAACATTGACTTTATTAGAGATCCACCAAGAATAAAAATGTGCCTTCATGATTTATTATTGTTATTATTTTTTTTACCAGCCGCTTCTGCTGTGGCTTCCAAAAGTGTTCGTACATTTACGAGTTTAAATGAGTTGCTTTATTCATTAATAAAAATTAATATTTGAGAATGAGAATTTTTAATATCATCTATAAATTTTTCTTACCAAAAATACAGTTCTATGTAAAAGTTTTTTTGGGGGGGGGAATCAATAACCATGAAGTAACAGAAAAGTTACCTCACAGAAGTCTTCGCCCGCTTTAGAGAAATCTGCACATATTAATAAATATTGTGGTGTGTGTGTGTATGGTCACTTTTTTATGGAGGCACCTAATAGGTGGGCCACCTTTGTCTCCTATGAAGGGGCGGTCAGTTACAAACATGCCTTCTCCGGGATACGAACCGGGCCGTTTGGTATTGCTGTCGGCTCTCCTAACCACTATACTGTCTTTATGGCTTTTAAAAAATAAAAATAAATAAATAAATCTTAGATGAAATTTTGAATAAAACTATTGATTTCAAGGACGTAACTTCGTCTTTTTCAGCTGCTGGGGGGGGGAGAAAGGAAAAAAACTTACGTATAATATTCAAAACCACGCCAGACTAAGGTCCCCCTCTTAACATTAAAAAGCTGTTCTAGTTATCTCAGAAAGAATAATATAATTCTCTCACTTAGTAGGTAGTTGAAGAAAAGATAATATATGTCATAGTTTTTTTTTCCTTCATGATTAAATAATAAATACACAGGGAAAAAAAAAAAAAAAAGGCTGCGATTTTTATGAGAACGTAGGGTATTTTATATACTGCTTTAAAATTTATAAATAAGTATTGTTAATTTTTTAAACGTTATAAATGCATACATTCCGTTCTGAGGAAAACGCGCCGTCTCGAAATGAGTTTCAATTTTCTTCGAGCAGAGCGCCCATGTAACCCAGCTGATCTAAGTACTTGTCGAGCAGTTTCATGTGAAATTGGAGTAGAAAATGTTTCAATTAATTCTGTGTAAAAATCTTTACAGCACTCAAACGTGGATTTTTCACTAATTTTCTAACTATAAATCTCTGATTAAGTTGGGCTAACTTTGCCTCTTCGTACAGCTCGAACGACCTCTTCTTATTTTATTTTCGATCCGATTTTTTTCTCTAAAGCGTTTTATCACATACTGCACCGTAAAATGGGACAAATTTGCTAATTTAGCGATATCCTGGATCGACTTTCTATCCTTGTGATGAAAAATTATGAGTTTTCGAGTGATATTTGTTGTTTGCTTGCGACTACGATTCATTTTTAAATATTAAATAAAACGTAACGAAGCAAAGAATAAAGCCAGGGGAATTTTTAAACGTCATCAAGCTGCAGTGGCAGACGATCATTTTATTTATGAAATGTTACGAAAATACTTCAGTGTACGATCACTTTTATGGCGTGTTTTTATCTATGCCTCCGTACATTTTTCAATTTTAGAAAAAGTCAATATTTAATAATAAAAAATTTATTCAAAATCGCATGGAAATGTTGTGAAAAATATTGGGCTTTATATTCGAATTCATTTCCGGGCTATAGCGATTTCTCTACAAATTCTTAAAGTGAACGAACACTTTTCGGAGCCACTGTTATATGGTAAATTATTTTTCTTCTTTTAGTGCATTAATTACCATATCCATTTTGAATAAAAGCTCTAGTGCATTAATCATCATTAATCGATTAATTATCATATCCATTTTAAATAAAAGCTTACCGCATAAAAACCTTTCTATTAACTGTATTTTGTTATTTAAATCAATCAGATTTAAAAGTAAAAGAAATATATGTACAAAAGACAACTTTCACTTTAAATATCGATAATGCTGTCATCGGTTCCTTGAATAACACAGTTTTCCACAGAATTGTATTAGAGGTTTAAACACTGTCAAGTTCTGAGATAAACAAGCTAGCTATCGTGATTTAGAAAGGAAATTTCACTTCTGCGAGCATGCCCACCCTCCTACGTTTTTTTTTTTTTTTTTTTTTTTTTTTTTTACAAAAGGTATTAATAAACTTATCAGTATCGGTACTACGTCTTATCTGGCATCTCTTTGAAACGAAGTCGAAGCGAGCATCGCCATTGTTGATGTTGTTAGTAGTCATGGTGATGTTTCATTTACCCCTTCTGACGAATCCAGGTGTAATAGTTAAAGATTAGTTAGGTGATGGTGCTTACTTAACCTCTGAGAAGTCGTACTATGCAGCAACAGCAGCTAGCCCGTAAGGTAAATAAATTACTTCTTCAGTGTAGCGTTTTTTGTTGACCGAATTTCAAGCCGCGGAACCTGACGTAAGCAATATGCATTTTTCCACTTCCGTAGAGCCGTCGATGTGTAGAGGACTTTAAAGAACGAAGTTTTAAAGCATGTTTGATTTGTGAAGATTATAATTAAAATGTGGCTATAAAACCATGGTTTTGTCAAGCATTTTGCATTTAAATAGGAAGCAGACATAAATTCAGTGGTTTATCTGGAAAGGTTATTCTGGACTACATTCCAAAATAAATAAATTCCCGTTATAAAAATATTTTTATTCATTAATGTGACTTTGTATTGGTTATTAATTTATTTTTTTGGGGAAGCTTCACTTTTCTAAATTTTTGTCATTGAATATTAATAAAAAACCATTTGCCTACAGTTGCTTTATTCCTGCATTAACTGCATAAAATCATAGTATATTTATTTACAGCATAATTTACATATTTTAACAGAGAAATTCAGGAATGCATTTTGAATGTTATGTAGAGAATAGTAGTATTTTACATAGAGACCACTCTGTATTTTGAATTCCCAATTTATTTATTGGTTTTTGATTATGGCAAGCCTCAAGGGCTATTTTCCTAAAGGGAGGGATGCTTCCGTGGAGGACTTTCCAAGGGAAACCGGTTCGTATACATGATACATGTGGGGGAAAACTAGAAAAGCACCCATGCAACCAACCAGGTCACGAAATTCGAACCTTAAACCAAACTACCAGTGTTCGGTGACTTCACCACTCAGCCACTAGTGAGCCCCACACTTCATGCATTGAAGAATGCCACAAAAAAGAAGCATGTAAAGAAATTTACATGAAATTTCTAAATGTTTATGCCTCCATCTCCCTTCCCTCCCCCCCAAAAAATGCATGTTCACATTTTTACAGTACTATAATTTAGTAAGTGAAACAGAACTTACTGTATTCATTGCCATTAGTGCAGAGTAAAATTATACTATAATTATTGGAAGTGTTTATTATAATATTGATTACATTTGTAATTTTTTTGTTTTGATTGGTAATTTTCTTATTTTAGAAAGTGGACCCGGAATTGATTTTCACGAAGCAAGAAAGAATAGGTAAAGGTTCATTCGGGGAAGTTTTCAAAGGTATCGATAACAGGACCCAGCAAGTCGTTGCAATCAAGATAATTGATCTTGAAGTTGCAGAAGATGAAATTGAAGACATTCAACAAGAAATTATGGTACTTTCGCAGTGCGACAGTCCATACGTGACAAAGTATTTTGGTTCCTATCTTAAGGTGAGTTCCTCGAGTATGTTAGATGTTTATTATTTCGCTTAAAAACATTCTATGCATACTGCATTTAATTTTAATCTGTATGCTCATTTTGAAGTTTAATTTTAGTTCTGAAGCACGATGCATTATTCGCTGGATACTTTTACTTTATTATTTAGTTGATAAATAGGAGTGGCTGAATCTTAAATATTCTTGAACGTTAATTCTTTAAAATTTTTTATGTAAAAAATTGCAAGAAAAGGGAAAGAAAATTTAATTCAGCATTTAAGTTTTTAATTGGAACAAAATTTGAAACCTGTGTTTAACAACAACAGCAATTATTTAATTTTAAAAAATACATCTATATTTATTACAAAGGTACAAATGAAATGTACAATGAAAACTTTTTTATTAAATTCATTTTTTCAACATAATTTGTGGAGGAGGGGGAGAGGAAGAAGACTTTCAGTTCAAAATTTTTATAGTTTTTCAGATGCTTTTTTACACCTAAGCAAATACTGAATGGACTGGGCTAATTCAACAGTTAAAAAAATTCTTAACATGGAGAGCTGAATTCTGAACATTTTTAAAAAAATCAAAAAACACTAAGTTCTTTTTAGAAGTTCGTAAAGCCTGCTAACATTTATGCCATTTGATGCCACTGTAGTGTAGTGTTGATACTGGTGATCCACTGAAATTGCAATAGTTATGTTCTTTTTTCAATGAATGCTTGTCTTAGACTTAATAACCAGTTCTTTTAAAGTGTTTGTTTTTCATTTGACGGTTTTACGTTAGGATTTGAAAGATTTGGATGACAAAAAGAAAAGAAAGGAAAAAAACATGGAAGATTCAAATTTTGGATATTATTAAAGATCTGTATGTTCTATCTCTATTGATAAGCCACTTGCAAGTTAATTAAAAGCTGTAATTTACAAACAGTCATATTTTCTTTGTGGATAGAAATGGGATAAATAAATATACTTGTTACTTACTAGGTTATAAAAAATGTTCAAATGTGTTACATTTATTGATAATTCTTGGTGAAATGCTTTCATTTTATGAACTTTATAAGCCTTTTAATGATTTAATGTTTGTTGTACTTTGCATGATTGTTCTGTGTAAATGGAATTTTTTACTTCTTTATGCAAAGTAAAGGAAGTATTGTAATCACTAAAAATTTCAAATGTTATATTTCAATGGAAATATGCATTTTGACCATTCCCAAATCCATTTGGATGATTTTTTATGCTTGAAGTCTGTACGTACACATAGAATAAAGGACCCTTTTTATATTAGCTGTAGAATGTTGAAATTTTGTATGCAGAACTGCTCTAATATCTAGTAGTACACATTCCTTTTTTATCGCAATCAGCAGTACCAAACATTATATATATACACTGACTACCAATAAGTATTTGGACACCTATGCAAATGATGATATCTGCGGTCCTAAGGTACGTCACGGACTCCGCCGGTATATATCGTGTAGGAAACAGCATCAGCTTTAGTTGCATGCAAGATGCCTCGCAATTCGGAGTTCTCTGATTTCGAGAAAGGTATAATTATCGGGTATCACAAATGTAGCTGATCCTTAAGGGACATATCTAGCGATCTGAAGTACCCAAAATCGACAGTGGCCTATGTGATTAAGAAGTGGAAGGTGAGCGGTGATTGTCGGAATGTGCCCCGAGTCGGCAGACCAACGAAACTGGGAGATAGAGACCGACGAGTGCTGTCCAGAGAAATACCCAACCGATGGTCCTCATCCGCGAAGAGTTTCAACAGGCATCCGTGAGTATAGTTTCAATGAATAGCATCCGTAAGAAAGCACATCTGCTTGGTTTTCATGGTCGTGCTGCTGTCCATAAGCCTTTGATCACAAAGTCCAACTGCGCTGCTCGGTTAATGTGGTGCAAAGCACATCGAAATTGGACCGTAGATTAGTGGAAACGGGTTCTTTGGAGTGACGAATCAAGGTTCACCCTTTACTATTCGGATGGCAGGGTCTGGCGTCTACCTGGAGAATGTCTCCTGCCAGAATGCATTGTGCCAACAGTCAAGTTCGGCGGAGGTGGAATTATGGTCTGGGGGTGTTTCTCTTGGTATGGGCTGGTCGCCATTCATGGTAAGCTCAACTCCGATGCCTATTGCACTATTTTGAATGACAATGTGCTTCCTAAGTTGGGGCTGTTTTACGGGTTGAATCCCTGTTACTTCAGGACGATGATGCCAGTTGTCTTGTTTCGACGTTAACTAAGGCTTGGTATGGTGCCAATGGAGTTCATCGAATGGACTGGCCTGCCCAGAGTCCAGACCTGAACCCTATCGAAAACCTCTGGGACGAGTTGCATCGCCGAATTCAGGGGTGCAAGTTCCTTAACCGGTGCAAAATCGGTTAAGGAACTTTTATGTCTTCTCCAAGCGAGTGGAAGAAAATACCACTAGCTGTCATTCAAAGACTTGTGGAAAGTATGCCTCGGAGGGTCCACGCTGTAATTACCTCTCATGGAGGCTCTACTAACTATTGATTTTGAATAAAGTTAGTTTTTCTTTTCTATCACAGGTGTCCAAATACTTATTGGTAGTCAGTGTATATGTGTGCATGTACGTGTGATAATAAAAAGGCAAAGATGTAGCAAATGATGATGATGTAGAATGCAGAAGGCATATTGGAGAGGAAGAATTTTGATTGTGCAGAATGCCAATCCATAATGAATAGGAGGAAACTTGGCAGTCAAAAATTACATTTTTATTTAAATTCACATTTGTGACCACAATCAGTTCACAAAAATATTGTTGGAATGAATTGTTTGTTGATTTTGTTGTATAAAATTTTCTTTATTATAAAGTATTTATTTATTTTATTTTCCTTTTTTATAGGGTACAAAATTATGGATTATTATGGAATATTTAGGTGGGGGCTCCGCCCTAGACCTGATGAAAGCTGTAATTTTCGAAGAAACACATATTGCAATAATTCTTAGAGAAGTATTAAAAGGATTAGATTATTTACATTCTGAGCGCAAGCTTCATCGTGATATTAAAGGTAAGAATTGTAGATATTATATAAGTCAAATTGTTATATAAAATTTTATCTCCTTGAGATGTTTTTGCTTAAAAATTAGATTTATATCCAACATGCGAGACTGTGTATCGGAAATTCAAAAAACATGCTCATTTTAAAATTATTTTGTGATATTGCTGTTGAACTGAATTTTATGGTTTAAGTACAAAGAATATGATATTTAATAAATAAAGGTAACATGCAAAACGTTAAACAAACGCCTCTTTGGGCATAATGTAAAATCTGAAAACTATCAGATTTTTTTTACTTTATTTTACTTTATTTACTTTATTTATTTTTGTATTGCACATTATTGTTTCCTAACTTGATGACTACATACACACAAGTAAGAGTTCTGTCTTTTACAAAATTGACTTTCAATTATACAATTTTCTGTCCTGTTTGTATCACTTCCTGATTATCTGCGCATCAATCAAAAAGTCGTGGACTTATGGTGACTTCAGAGAGGATTCGTGAACTGCTGAGAGCCTTGAAGAGATGTTTGTTTGGGTTTGGATGTATGTGTTTTTCAATGTTACATTTTAGTGCTGCATAATTTTTTACATTACTTTTTTTTTCACTCACAAGACATGCATATTTTTCAGTCACTTGAGTTTTTGCTCTCTCTGTGTACACAATCATCTGTTTTTACTAAAATAAATTAGGGAATTTCACAAATTTGGCAACAATATCCTAAAATTAGAAAGAAAAAAGAGCCACGTGTTGCCTTTTAAGTATACTGCATTATGATGTGTATGTGTAGAAAGCTAAGTTTGATATTTCACCAGTGTCATTGAAAACTTCCATATACCATACTGAAAATCTTACAGTCATAATCTGCAGATATCCTGGTGAAAAAGGTCTGTAAAAGTGGAAAGCCATCTGGGGAAGGATGCTATGCCCAGCCTGGTTTACCGCATAAATATTTGTTGGCCATGTGGTGCTTTGCCTCGACAGTACTTTTTGTGTCCTTTTTATGGTCAGAAAGTGCTGAATTTTCATTAAGTAACCTTACTGTTTTAATTGGAGGTAAAAAAGCAAATAAAGTTCTTGAAATAAAAGTAAGAATTCTTACTACTGTAAAATGTTATGAAAAAAAATCTTTTTATAGTTGCATTTCTCTTTGTGCTGATGAGGATGTGACTAGTGAGTTATTCAAAATAGCCTTTAAAATAATTGTCATATAACTAGTATTGAAACAAAATCTTAATATATTCTATTTTACAAATACATCAGTGGCTTAGCTAGGGTGGGGCAAGATGGGACATCTGTCCCTGGGTGCAACATTCAGGGGGCACCAAATTGATGTTTCAGAATTTTAGAATGAATGTTTTCCATTCTTGGCACAAAGAAAGGGGTGCAAAATCTTCAGTTGACCCCGGGCGCTGAAAACCCTAGCTACACCTCTGAGATACATCCTATAATAATTTTGATCATTTTATCGAGTTACTGCACTGTGTGTTATAATAATCATTTGAGTAACCTGGGACATTTCTACAGTTCAGGTTGAATGTAATGCATTTTCTGTTAAACTTATTTGAGTAACACTGCATAAATTTATTTCTTTTGAAACCTTTTCGTGTATTGTGATTGAAGACGTTATTTTTAAGTATTTGCTAACTCTTCTTTTTTTCCTCCCTCTATGTGTGTAAGGGGGGATTGGTTAAGAATTCATCTGCTGCTGACAGGCTTGTCTACTTTTGTTGATCTTTTACAGCACTTGTCTTAAAAATTAACTTTTATATAGTAAAAACTGAATATCTAAAAGAAGTATTTTTCTAATGTTTGGACATCTTTTATTGGAGTGCTTGTTGCTTTATTGCAAAATTGTAATCACATTTTTATTACAAATTTTATGTTGATTTTTATATCTGTTTAATTTTCTAAGATCAGTGTAATATTATAGGCTGCAATACATAATTAATGTTTGACATTTTTTATTATAGCTGCAAATGTTCTTTTGTCTGAAATGGGTGACGTAAAACTGGCGGACTTTGGTGTTGCCGGCCAGTTGACCACCACAACTAGCAAAAGGAATACATTTGTGGGCACGCCTTTTTGGATGGCACCCGAGGTCATTAAACAGTCAGCGTATGACTCGAAGGTATTGAAAATGCATGAGCTTAGAGTAACTAGTTAATTTTCAACATTTTAAAGTATTAACTAAGTTTTTATATTAAGCTTAATGCATTAGATTTAGATCATATGTACTATATGTTAATATATCTGCTAAGTTAAAACTAATTGGTAGGCTTTAACTAAACAACAACAACAAAACAAACCCCCCCAAAAGTTTATTGCTGATAATTACATGGTAAGCATTCTATAGATATAATCTGGCTCATTGTTCTTGTACATAAGGTGGTGCTGTACATAGCAATATTCTTCTTTAGCAATTAAGAATATGGTAATATTTGATAATAAGTTATTTATTACATCAATGGATAAAAATATGATTTTTATAAGACTTTCTTCATTTACAGATGTGGAATAGGAGAGTAATGAGGTTTAAAAATTGGTTGCTGCAGTGCCCTTCAATTTTAAGTGAAGCTGTACATAAATATCAGCATGAGAAAATGCACGTAGCATTTTTAAAGTAGCATTTTTAAAACATTTAGTGCCCTTCAATTTTAAGTGAAGCTGTACATAAATTATCAGCATGAGAAAATGCACGTAGCATTTTTAAAAATGAAATATGTAAGATTATTGATACAGAACTAAAATTTAATTTGCAGTAAGATGATTTCCAGCTTTAGGATTAGTAAAACATCTAAAATTGTGGAAGGATTAATGGAATTTTTCTCTTAGAGGTGCCAGCCCTTGAAAAGATGATTAGAATGAATTTTATTAATAATGATCTCTTGAATTAATATTAAATCTACTAAGCTACTAAAAACTGAATATGTTTATGTCTGCAAGATCTTAACATAATTTCTTCTGGCTACAGATTTAAAATTAAGAATTTAAAATTACTTTTTTGTTTTATTATTTTAAATATGACTTATTTTGAGAGAGGTGAATCTATGAAAGATTGTAAACTAAGCAGTATAAAGGATGAATAACAAAATATTTCAAATATATAAAATTTATAACAGTGATCAACTTTCTAAAGAGTATTAATTTAAATGGAAAGTAAACCGAGATTTTTATGTGAAGAAATATTTACACTAAGATGTTAGCTCTTTTTCCTTGTAATTAAATTTCCTTTTAAATCATTTCAGGCTGATATCTGGAGTCTTGGAATTACAGCTATAGAACTTGCAAAGGGAGAGCCACCTAATTCTGATTTGCATCCAATGAGAGTATTATTTTTAATTCCTAAAAATAATCCTCCCCAGCTGACGGGAAGCTACAGCAAACCATTTAAAGAATTTGTTGAAGCATGCCTAAATAAAGATCCAGAAAATGTAAGTATTGCTTTTACTGTCCCTTATTCAACACCATTTTCACATTTTTATAAATAGTTTTAAATATGTTCATGTTGGAGGATTAAAGTTTAAAATTATTAACAAAAGCAAAATAATTCCCCCCCTAAAAAGGTAATTAACTCATCTGTTAATGACAATAAAATAACCTTTCTTCTTCATCTTTTAATTTATAATTTACTGATTGGTTTCTGTATCTGTAATGTTTGGTCAAAATTTTATGTTTCGCCTTATATCAGTTTGTTTATTTTTAACCTGTACTCCACATGTATATTTTATTTCATGTATGACCAAGTATATTACTTTTGTATGTGATATGTATGACCAATTGCATTTATTTCACGTATTTGGCAGAAAATGGTATATTGAGCATAATAATTTTCTATGAGAAATTATTTTTAAATTATTTACATTTAAAAGAAATTCATACCCTTTTTTTTTTTCTGAGCTAATCCTTTTATGCACACGTTAGATTCACATTAAATTATCTGGTTTTAACAAAAGCTTTCCACCAAAAATGTTTTCTTAATAAAGTTAGGGGGAAAAAAGCCAAAGTACCCTTTAGTGCGGGTAGTAATCACCACCCAAATCTATGATTTTCTACCAACATTTGTGTAGTTTTTCAAAGCCTTCGTCCCCAAAACTTGGTGGCTGCGAGTCCAAAAGCAGGTCGACGTCATTTCACATGTCCTGTGTAAAATGGAAGATGGCACTAGCAAGATGTAGCTGCAGGTGTGAAAAGGGTAGAAGTCTAAAGGAACGATGTCAGGGCTACATGATGGGTATGGCAAAAGATACCATTCAAGTCCGTACAGATTCCAGCCGGTGAAAGCAGACACATGTGGTCTTTTTAATTTTATGTAGAATTTAAAAAAAAATTACCATTTTTAAAGTAACTGCATTATTTGGGGTCTCGGATGCACAATCAACTAGCAAAAAATCAAAGCTGCTTTTTTATTCCACTATAGCTTTTTCCCACTCATATTCAAATTGTGACTATCAAAGAATTATTATTGATGGCTTTAATTTTTTTTTTTTTTTTTTTAATATATATATATATATATATATATATATATATATGGAGAACTGTGTGTTGCAATTTTTAATTTCTTTACATAAGTTAAAAAAAAAAAAAGAATGTCATTTGCAAATAATTATGCATGCTAGAATTATTTCTCAGCATAATCTAGCAAATTTCTATGAAATCTTGCTGTCACCATTTGACGGCTAATAGATGTGTTAATAACTTCAGTTTATCTGGAAGTTTGGAATATCAGCACAGGAAAGCCAAGGCCAAGGTAGCATATAATACAGAATGACCATAGTCCTGTTTGTTTGCCTTTAAAAAGTTATTTTGTTAGATGTGAATGAGGCTTTAGTGACAGATAAGCCATTTCCACGTGGAATGTTAATCAAAAATTGAATGAAAATGGCTGGAGAACCTCTGAAGATACTTTTCGTTAATGAAAAACAGAATTTTAATGAAAATTGTTAAGGAAAACGGTAATGAAAAACTGATGACATGAATGAAATTAAAGTAATGATGCGCAGTGGTTGCACCCTGAAAGTTTGGATTTTTTTTTCTCCTTTTCTTTCCGAAATTTTTGAGTGAAAACCAATTGATTACTGATCTTTTACCTCTACATTACACAAAATGACTGCAGAATCATACACTTTTTAGTACTTCAAATTATATGCCTATTAAAATTTGTTTTCAATGATACAAAAAAAACTTCCTTTTATTAATATAAACAACTTTAAATTTCAAAAGTTATTCATTGCACATCATTATATATATCATAAACAATAAAGAAGTAGCAATAATTAAACTGTATATGTAAAAAGTCTATGTATATTCATGGCATTTGCTTTGTGGTTTCAGGATGTGGCCACTAGAGCACTGTGTCACAATGCTCACAATTCTCTAGAGCAGAGTTTCTTAAACTGTGGGTCGCAGCCCCTTTGGGGGTCGCGGGACCTGCTGCAGGGGATCGATAAAAATTTTAGCAGTTTTGATATTTCTTTAACTTATTATAATAATTTTACAATTACCAAATATTTTTACACAATGTATCTGAAAATAGATAAAGATAAGACAATACAGTCAAAGAAAACGTTTCAACACATTCTTTTTATAATATAATTGTTCATGTTCTTTGCTTTGCACATGAAGCTGTCATTTCGTCTGTTACTTATTTAAAATTTTCACACTGTTCTATGTCCTAAAATTAAAAATTAAAGTTAATGACCTAAAACTGCAATAGTACATTACAGTACAAGTGAAAAAATTTACAGTTTCAATCATGCGTGTGTCGGATTTGTGCAATACTTATGGGGTCCCACAGAATTTTTGTAAATATTATGGGGTCCTGGGGTCGTGAAAAATTCTCAGTGATAAAAAGGGGTTGCGACTGGAAAAAGTGTAAGAAACCATGCTCTAGAGGCTCAGTTATCCCTTGAAACCACTGCTATTCACAGTGGTGTTTGCTGGTTTTCGAATAGGAATGTTTATTTTTGCCCAGATATAGAGAAGAGGCTTTAAAACCACAGAGTTAATTTATTACTAAACAATACATACACGTGCTCAGTGAAAAGGTCTTACTCTTCCAGAGATTTTTCTGTGACCTCAACATGCTTGCTTCCTATGCTATTATTGTGATTTTATAAATTATTTTGTGTGGTTTAAATATAATGTAAATATACTTTGCTATAATTAAAAATAGAAATCACATAAAAGCTTTATTTAAATAAAAAATAATTTATAAATATTTTGGGACGAAATACGAATAAAATAAATACAAATGGGAAATTAAAGATCCTTACCAAAGGCAAAAAGAACCTCTCGTTAACATAAAAAACCACAAATTTCATGTGCCAGATGAAAAGAGACTAAATAACGCTGGACATATATCAATAAAATGCAAATCCAAGCAGTGTACATTTTGTAATACAAGGGAGAAACCTCATAGAACAAGATTACATGTGCAAAATGTGCAGTGTGGATCTATGCATGAACCAAAAAACCTTTAAACAATATCACAAAAAAAAAAAAAAAAAAAAAAAAAAAAAAAAAAAAGAGTACTTTGACGATTAAAAAAACACTGAGTTTTTTTTATGCTTACTTTACAGAGTTTTTTATCCATTTATCCAAACTGTCTTTATTATGTAGGTTTGTATGTTTTCATTTCTATAAAAAAATTACATAAATGTTTATTTTTTAATTTTTTCTTACGATTTACTTCGTAAAATAATGTAAAAAATTTACATATAATGCAATTCTTACATATATTTTTTTTAATTTGCAAATTTCGTCATTTATTAGAAATGCACCCCGGAAAAGGTAAGTTTTTTTTTCTTTTCTTACTACCTCAGTAAGTTTCAAAGTCCTAGATGTGTGCTGATTTCACAGTGCGACCACCATCCACAGATCAATGGGCAAGAGTAGATTTTTATTAAATTCATGTATTATTTGTCTCTAGGATCATAATATTCAATTTCTAGAGTTTTTAGTTTAAAAAATTATAAAAATAATATCGTCTGCATCAAGAGGGTTAATGAAAAATGGATAACAACAGTTTAGGATCTCTAGAATAAGCTGTGGATAAATAATGTTAACTTGTCTGGAGCGATGAAACAGCACTTTCTTTGACAGCCAACAAAGGAGACATATTTGTACAATGTCATTATATTAAAAATTTTAATCCATGTTTTACTATAAGCTCAGGTGATGGAGGCCAGGGCACCTGGCTTCTGCCAGAGGTAAGCAGGTATATGCCCCTCGTCCTCTGTTATCCAGCGTTTTATTAAGAATTTAGTTAAGTTACATGGCCATACAATGGTTAGATGGTGATACAATGGCTACTTTTTTGGAGACAGAGGCTGCAAGAAATATATTGAAATGGTACTATAACCACATTAAAACATTGTTCTGTAGTTAACAATATATGTATCTGCATGGAATGGGCTGACATACTTTGTAGAAGGAAAAATGAATGTGGCTGAATATATTTGTGTGCTTGTCCAGCAAGATTTTTAGCCAGTTGAGCATATATAGGACATGCTAAATCATCAAGTTCAGGTGACAGAACATCAAACACCTGAAATGTCATGTTGGATGCTGGACAAATTCTATCTTAGAATGATATCAGAAATTATTCCTTACCTAGGCATATTACATAGGCATATTAGCAATGCTGCATCATAGCATCATAGCCAGGGGAGTTTTCACAAATTGTTAATTATAACATCTGAGTGTATCTGCCAGCCATTAAATTGTTCTAGCACCTTGCAATTGTAATTATTCATTATCTGTGTATGTGTTTTAAACATGTTTAATGTCAAGAAGTGTGTCTGTGTACATGGGCAGAAATATGAAATCAAATTTAGGTTTAGTTTTTGTAAATGTGGTTCATATTATTTAATTCCAAATATGTACAGGATATTTCCGAATTTGACTGACAAATTTAGAGGGATGATAGTAGGCATCAAGAGGATTAAAAATTACTAAGACAATTATTAGAACAAATTACTAGAACATGGGGTCGCAAACCACGTTTAGTAGGTGAAAATCGCAAAAAGTGCAGCGATCTTGACAAAGAGAATGGCCAAACAAATGCAAGGATTAGGAGCGCCTCGGTCGAGAAGAAACCCTTTTGTATGCAAATTTCATATGCGTATGGGGAAATAAAAGCAGTGAGCAAGTATTCATTAGTGGGTGTTGCAGAATTCGTGGGTGTTAAATTTCATTTGGAAACAACATTTCAGGCAGATTACATGAATGAGGAATATGTGGATATGCATCTGATTTACAGCTGAGCAGTTGGCAATGAACATCTAATATAGAGGATGCACCAAGAACAATATCCAAAGAGGCATTGTCCACACCATACCATCTTTAGGATCATCGATCGACTGCTGTGGGAAATGGGATCCTTCCAAATAATGAGGTGTAATGCAGGGCAAGAACACAGAGTGTGCACATCAGAAACAGAAAACTGAGTATTGCATTGATTTGCTGTTTTGTCATTGACCAGTACATGATTGGTTGCAGCTGAACCCATTTCATGTGCAGAAGGTTCAACTTCTAGGCGATGTTGACTACCAGTTAGATAGAGTAGTCGACTAGACTGGGTAGAGTTCATACACTAGTTGCCACACAGACTGATTCACAGTTCTCACCACTGTTTTATTCTCATATGAAGCCTGCTTTATGAGAGAAGGCATGGTCAACATTGCGCTATGTCTATAAGGTATTTCTCCCGCCTTCTTAGCATGCTTCTGATGTGTAGTAGTCAGCACACTTAACGCGTATTCGAGATGTCTGTGGTTTGAGTTCCGGTGAGGGCATTGCTAATTTTTCATCTCTTTTGCTTCGAAATAGGCTAATATCTCTATGGGTCTTCCGAAAATCCCACAACATTATCTCTTCAAACGGTCACACAAGTTCAGTATTAACATCTGGGCAGGGATTCTCGGAAATAATCTTTTGGGATCGCATCTTCTGCCGGTGTGCCTCAATGGCGCTAATTACCTTATTTTCTTACAGTACGTTTTCCCAGAGTTTATGTAAGGAATACTGTGTGGCAGAACATGTATGCTTGATAGTGCACAAGCCCATTTTGTGATTGCGGTGATGCTACATATCTTGGGTGATGGATTGTACATGGTGCACTGCTTAGCCTGCACTCTCCCCATACCTCACTCCATGGATTTCTTCTTCTGGAGCCACCTGAAGTCGGTTGCAGGAGGACCTGACACCACAGATTGGTGTTGTTTCAGCAGACATCGCCACAATGCCGGGTATTTTTGAACATGTCTGGCAATCCTTCATCTGTTGGTGTCAGGTGTGCAATGACCTTCATGGCTGCAACTTGGAACAATTCCTATAAAACTATATTGTCATCTTTTTTCTGACATTGATGTATTATAATTCTGCTTTACATCAAATAATTTTTTTAAAATTTATTTATTTATTACTAGGTTCCTTTTTTTCCCCGCAATGGGCGTTGCAACTGTCTTTTGTGAATTTCTCCCACTAAATGCAGTTTTGGACCCCATGTTCTATCACAATTTTTCATCCTCTTTGATGCTTACTATCACCCCTCTGAATTTGTCGGTTGAATTCAGGAACACCCTGTATATCATAACTTTCTGATGCTGATATTTTTATACTCTAAATTAGATTAAGACTACTTATCTTGCAATAGCAGTGTTGTTATTGCTTATAAATAAGGTTGTGGATTATAAAATGTTAATAATTTTATCTTTTCTAGAGACCTACAGCCAAAGAGCTTCTAAAATTTACTTTTATTCGGAAAGCGAAAAAGAATTCATACTTAATTGACCTCATAGAAAAATATAAAAGGTATAAAGCAGCTGGTGGTGGTCAAAGTGATAGTGATTCAGAGGCTTCAGATTCGTGAGTATTTTTGTATTTCCTGTTGTGTATTTTGAGTTATTATTGCTTTTGTTTTTCCTATTGTTGTGCATTTTGAGCCATTATTATGCAACTGGTGCATTGTCATTGAAAATTAAAATTCATGCAAACAATGTGAATATGCCTAGACATTTAATGTGATATCCCAATGAGTATATTTAGAAACAGCTTTTTATGCTAGTTCTCTCCTTTTTTATGCATTCTTTGAAATATACTATAAAAAATTGGGCAGGAAATTTTAGATGCTTTTTGTTATTAGCCTGAATAATAAAATTTTTGCTGTCATGCCTATTTAAAAAACAAGAGAATTTTAACTAATCCTTACTTTACGTATAGAAAAAAATATCTATGATAGGTTATGTTAATTCTGTGCACAGTTTTATTAGAAGCATAGCAACAAGTATAAACCTGAAACCTTTGTTTTGATTATAAAAAGAAAACCTTAATATTGCAAACAATTAACAGGGAAAAAAAAAAAAAAAAAGAGCTTTCATTTTAAAAACTGCTAGTTTAACAATAAGAAATGAAGTGAAATATAGCTTTCAATTATCACATCACCTGAATCGCACTTTTTGAAGGAAATAAATTAATTTGTTATTCAATAAGGCTATTAATAAGAGCAAATGACAGTTGTTTAAAAAGGTTATCTCTGTAAATTATTGCCACTGAACATAAAAAAATCTTAATTACTTTAAGAGTACATCTTTAATAGTTTCTCTATACATTTAAAATGTTGCAACTAAAAGTTTAACACATTTGTTGACATGGTAGATATATGAAAATCACCAGAAGTTTACTAACTTTGAAAAAAAAAAAAGTGTTAACATAGATTTCAGCATGCCTATGCATGATCAGCAAGGAAAATGTTAAGCTAATAAAAGAAATTGGTATTTTGTCCCTCCCCCCTTTTAAAGGTATTAATCACATGACAAAAGTGTTTGTTTAAATATATCTTTTGCCATAGGGTATTAAACAAGTTTTATAAATTTTAAGCACTTAACAGCAATACAAAATAACCAAAAAAATTATTACACTCCGCCCCCTCCCAAAAAAAGCATTGTGATGTCGTGGATGCTTCATTTGTAAGGGAATTAACACTGGTATTGGTGATCACTTTTTATTCACAGCACATACCACAGATACAACATTTAATTAATACATTTAGAAACTTTAGTAAATATCCGAGCTGGTGACACGATCAGAGACGTTAATGAAGATGGCACTCGTCATCACTGGGCGAGTAAAGTCTCCACACCTCAGCTCGCTGGCAGAGCTTCCCAACTCTCTTTCCGACAGGCGTCCAACCAGAAGTCTCTTCTCTTTATGCATGCGCATTACTCAGTTACGTCGTTGCCAGTCACAGTTCTTTAAAATAGGTATTAAAAATGAATTGTAGTCCTCGTAGTGTGAGGAATCTGGTAACGAAGTTCTCTCTAATCGAGAGCATTGTAAGTCTCTCTAGTCGAGAGTTCAGAAGCGTTCTTTATAGCATCTTTGTTCTTTGGTAGTGCCTTTTGATGGTTAAAAGAAAGGAATCTCTAAACATCGGTAGTTCTATCCTCAGTTTAATTTGTAATGATGGTTTGTGGTGGCTGCTTTTTCATTTTCACACTAATTTTAATGTAAACATTAACTTCTTTCCTTTATTTATTAAGCTGTGTTGTAATATACTCATACTGTTTCATATTAAGATGTTGCTATTAAAGGTACAGTGAGCTGTGCTAGTATAACATGAATCAGTGAAATAAGATAATATTGTGATACTAATTCTCAGTATTTGATTTGACAGGATAGATAGTTTAAGTGAGAAGGGTTTTTGATATTGGAAATTTTTTCAGGAGTGGTAGGTTTGGATTGTTTTGTTTAAAAGTACTTTTAATATTTATGCTCATTTCAAAAAATATTTTGTTTTATATAATAGTAGATTTATAAATTTCTCGAATTTATAATGTCTTAATGGGTAATTCTAGGTTTATAAATCTGCTGTGAAGGTTTTTGCTTGTTTTGCAAACATTTAACCTTGAATGGGCTGGCATTCTTGTTGTAATAAACATGGTTTCATTGGTGTATTTTTTCCATATGTGTATTGTTTGTTCTCTAGCAAAAATTCATCAAAACTGGAATATTGCACATGCATAATAAATATTTCGTACTGTTCTGTTAATGGGGTGCCAAAATAAATATATGCACAGAATCCAATTAAATGACAGTAATGAAAAGAATAACAATTTTATACGTCATGTTTAGTATGGGCAGTGCTAAAGGTGTACGGAATGCTAAATTTCTGCAGTTCTCTGACATTAAGTGAAAATAGATTACCATGTATATGGAGGTTATTCTCTCCGTGTATACAGCAATCTGTTTTCACCTAAAAAAGCATCAGTGATATGTTCGAATTCGGCAGTGCGTGTATTAAACATTATGTATAATAATTTTATAGCTGTTCAGGACCATGGTTCTTTGTTTCACATTTGGTGATTGAAAACCCTAATAACAGAAAAGTACCATTATTCTTAAATAAGAATTTATAAAAGCATATTCAATTATTTGAAATAGTGTGTGTGTCATATGAAACGTTACTAACCTGCCTGTTTTATTGGTTGTCAATTATGTATTGCTTTGTGACACTGGACTATGCATTGTCTCTTTCAGAGATGAATCAAAAGTAAATGACACATGGAAAAGTTGGCGCTGGGATTTGGGTACTGTGAAAGGTCCTGGTGCATGTGATTTACCACTGTCTCCTAATCTGGACGGTGAAAATAATGTTATGCCCATGAAAGTGTCAAAAATTCCTTCCCCGTCGAAACATCATCAAAATGGTGATTCGTCCTCTTCACCGCATTCACCAAACTCTCATCCCGATGGTGTAACGTTTTTCAGACAAGAGAGCAGGCAGCAGGTTTCTGTAAGTATGAGACTTTACTTTTAAGTAATTTTATAAGGTATTACCATCTTTGCTCACGTGTGTAAATGTAAGGATGGACATCTTTAATTAAAGTTCTTTTATTAAGTTTTAGGATAATTGTTTTTAAGTAATAATAATTAAAATACTTTTAAAAAATGTTATTTAATTTAATTGTATTTTTTAAAATTAGCAATATAAAGTAGACATTACTATAGTTAAACTGTGTATGCTGAAAAGCTCCTAATTGGCCAGTCAAAAATCTTGAAGTATTGGAAGAACTTCTGTGGTTTTCTTTTTGGTGGTTGAATGAGGTGGCTGCATTAAATTTCCACTTTTTTCACTTGTATAACATTTTTCCCTAGAAATTCTGTCATGGAGGTATTTCTGTATTACAAAAAAAGTTCACAAAGAAGACTACTGCAGCATAGGATAATTCAGGATGTTAGGTTATTTGTATATGGCAAAGCACTCAAGGCTATCTCAAGGCACTCAGCCTAAAAGAAGGGCTGCTTCATGGAGGACTTTGAAAGGGAAACTAGCTGGTATTCACATTACAGTTGGAAAACCATGAAAACCAACTGTTAAAATTTTATCAAATTTTTTACATGTTAAAATTTTAGTTATCTGAATAGGATAAGTAAAAATTCACTTACCTTTTAAAGGGGTGCCCTGGAACATGCTCTTTTTCCTTTCGAAGTCTGGAATTCCATTCACTGCCAAACTGTAATACAGTCAAAAGTCATTAATTCGGACACCCATAATCCGGAATGATCTATAATCCGGACCTCAAAGCTAAAAACTTTCTGCGCATGCGCCGTGTTGACACATGCGCATAGGCGTTTACGCGTGCGCGTAAGACCTTTACGATTGCACATATGTGCGTGCGTAGGTGCAGAATACGTTTTTGCGTGCGTGTTTAATGTATAACGGACGGTATAAGCTAAAATTATCTAATTATCTATTTCAGTTAATGTTGATGATTGCGTTGTTCCTTAATCTTCGAACTAGATCCGGCTCATTACTTTTTTCAGACTGTAAGAGCAATTTTATAAAAGTAAACTTGAACTTTCGATTTTGTCAAAAAGAATTTCCGATGCTGGAGCTCCCAAAGGATCTACAAAACGAAAGTATGTTTCGATGTCCATCAAACAAAAAGTGGAATTGCTGCAAAAAATGGATAAAGACATGAAGAAGGTGACAGAGAGGTTAGTGAAAACGAAAAAATTTCGATTGACAAGTTAGTCGGTATTCTCGGCACAGCAATTAACGGGACTTGAACTGCGAGACTTTGTAACTGAACAAGAGATTATGTCTGTTTATAGAATTAAAGAGAAAGTATTATCACATAAAATGAAGCAACTTAAACAACTTACATTGAAAGAAATGTTTAATAAAGTAAGCAAATATATATTATTTTTTTTTTTTTTTTTTTTTTTTTTTTTTTTTTTTTTTTTTTTTTGTAAATTTTGATACCCTTTAGATCATAATTGTTCTTTATTTCATAAATTACGGTTTCATATTTTTAATTTTAGAATTTCTGCATGCCATCTTACGAGATTTAAACTGATGATCTATAATCCGGAAAAATCGATAATCCGGAATCGCCGAAGTTCCGATGAGTCCGGATTAATGACTTTTGACTGTATAATATTTTTTCAGAAATTTATTATTAACACATGATACATATTTTCATAATATTTACAAGGTATTAAATACAAGTATTATGTTTAAGATACATATGAAGATGGTCTATTGTTCCTACTAATGTTAGACACGTCACTTGTTCAACTCTCTACCTTTTCTGTCTTCCACCAGAGGGCGTCTGTGGTTGCTGCATTATTAGTAAACAAGCGTGGAGTCAGCTCATTGGCCTGGGTTTGAACTGAGGTGAGACTTGCAGCATTCAGCAGTCTTAACATTTCTTCCGCTAGTGGGGCTAATTCAGAAGTTAAAGAATCCAGATGTATGTTTGAAAGAATATGAAACAAGGTTCTTTTAGTGATGCCTAATTGTGAAGTTGAGGAGGTCCTTTTAACTTTTGTTGTCTGCCTCATTTATTACCTTGGTGAAATTGCAAAAGATTTTACATGAAATAGCACATTCATATTCAGTTCAGTATTACCACGGGCATTGCTAGAGGGAGGGCAAGGGGGGACTTTTGTCCCTGAGCGCAGCTTCTAGTGGGTGCCAAACTGATGCTACAAAGTTTTAGAATGAAATGTTTTATACTCGTGGCAAACAGGTAAGGGGGCTCAAGATCTCCAGTTGTCCCTGAGTGCTGAAAATCCTAGCTACAGCTCTGAGTATTATATGATGAAGAAGAATTTGAGTTCTTCCTGAAAATGAAATAATAATTTGTCCTTTTTGATAAAATAGAATACAAACTAAACTCGGTGGTGCAACAGCCGTAATGGGCCACGACTTGCACTGCCCTTTTCGGCTGTCTTGACTTTTGAGCCCCATAGTGCTCTTTTCCCTTTTGGTCCCCGGATCAGCATATGCGCTTGGCAAGTGGTTAGCGTGTCGCAGGACCTCCTGTGTTTAGTCCCCAAGCGAACTTGTTACTCATTTTATCGATCCACGTAAAGGATGAAAACTGGATCAACCTTACCCAGCGCAGGGATCAAACCCCGGACCTGTGGTGCACCTGCACGACATGCTAAAAATAGAATACATATATGTTAAAATATAATGTTTTAAATCTAAATAATAATACTGTTAATGATAGGCATTACTTATGAATTAATAAATATTATATCAAATAAATACACTTTGTGCTTGATAGGGGAATTACGATATAAATTTATAAAGAGTTATCACATTCCCCCATATGTATTCTCATTTTGTAAGCGGTTGCCACTATCGGCCAACATTTAGAAGATGGGTGGTTCGAATCCAGTAAGAGCATAGACAGTATTGCATATATTCTGATCTAAAATAACTTTTATCTCTACGTCTCTGTCTGTGATGGATGATAATATGTCACCACCTGGATTTCGTCAACTTGATATTGTGCCCCCTTTGTAATCACTGTTGAAGTGGGAGAAAATGTAAGAAATTCTCACCTCCCCAATGTGTTTTCATGTTGTAAAAGGTTAGCATGACCGGTTAGCAGTAAGAAAGTCTGGATTGAATGCTTTGTGGTTCAGAATACGTAATGTCTCTGCAAATGAATTATTATTAATATTTTTAATCTTATCTGAATGTTATTTATTTTTGACAATGTATGAATCCCAATTTCCTTTATTACAAGTTATATTTTTTTATTTATCATTCAGACAAGACCTTCAAGTATGGCTCCACCACCGCCACCTCAGACAAAACGAGTATTATCGGCGGAGAGTCTTGATGAATTTGAGAAAAAACAGCACGAAATATTACGACACAGGGAAGGTGAGAAGGACCAGTCCGGAGATAAAGCAGCGCGAAGAAAGTCTCGGGAGAAATCGTGGCAGGAACTGAATAACTCGGACGATCGGGAGCTTCACGATAGGAGAGACGTTAGGGAAAAGAAAAAAGATCTTTTGAAGATGTCCGACTCTCCCGTGAAACAGTCTTTAGGAAAAGGCTCGTGCCTGTCAACTATTATACATCCGTTAATGTCCGAGGTATGATTTGTTTTAATCTGAAGCATAAAGAAGAAATATTTTGCTTTGAAATGTGTTTATGGAATTGCTCTGACAACTTTTATTTGATTATTTTCCTTTATTTTTAAAAAAAATTATTTGATAACAAAAAATTTGCTGTAGCAAAATGATATTTTTTAAAGTAAAATTTATGAGATTGTGGAAAGGAATATATAGTCAAAAGGTTTAATAAGCTTCAACTGGTAATAAGAATTTAATTGACATTATGCACATTACAAGATCTAGATATTTTTTATTCTCTCATTGCAAATAAAATTTAATTGTGTGGATGGTATGTCTCCCACAAGAATATAATACAATAAAAGCTCGACTGTGTGATATTTGTTTAACTGAGAAACCCAAGTAACTAAATATTTTAAAATTTTAGAGTTTTCTTTTTTTTTTTTTTTTTTTTTTTAACATGAAATTAAGCCGATGAGAAAGCCTATATAAGATTACAACTCGGAACAAACAAAAACTGTTGCCAAGCAAATGTGATTTAGCTCCATGAATGTATTGCTGTAAATAGTAATACGATGGGTCATTTGTTTTGATGTTTCAACAAATTAATTGCTATTGATCTGTTTTTTTCCTTCACATTTTGGAAAATGATTAAAATTTGCAACCAGCCTTAAATGGAATTCCACACAGTTGAGTATTTTCAGCGGGATTTTGGCATCAAGAAAAGTATGCATTAATGGACATGATGTACGACTTTAATTGAAAATGAACAAGCAGTGATGATGCAGCATGAAAAATTATGATTAAAGTGGTTTAATTTATTTATTTAATTTAATTTATTAAGTGATTTAAGTTTTGTATATACTATAGTGATAACATATCTCTCTTGATGTTCTAACTAAATAAAGAACAATCAGTTCTATGATTGGCATACTTTGTTGAAATTTCCAGCACTTTTCATGATGAATAGGATTTGACAATCAAATATGATGTTTTGCTTTAAGATACACAAGTACATTGGCTTTTATGTGTAAAATGGAATTTTTTAAAAAAAATCTCTGTCTTACATTTTTTTAGGCTTTTGATATTCCAGCTAATAATTGAAGAATGAAAGTCGTATCCATTATGGATACAATGGCTGTTTTTATAGTTTTATACTTGAAATTTCTTTCTATTCAATGGCTTTTTGGTTGTGAGCTGCATTTTTTATATGATCAGCTACCCAGAATTTGTATGTATCTGACATTTTCTGAGCTTTCCAGATAGTTGAGTTTTTGGTGTAATAATTGAAGAATGAAAGTCATTAATGGATTAAAACTTGTAACTTGAAAAATCTTATCTAGAATATATGCTTGCTGCAACCTTTTCTAAGAAGCTGAGTTGCCCTTATATAAGACGGGGAAGGGAATTTGAAACCTTAAAGCTTTCATTTACAGTCTAATACCTCAAAGATATGTAATTAAGTTTTTTAAAATGTGAAAAAAAAAACCATACAAAGGATTATTAGGCTGTTATACATACAAAGAATACCTATTAGAGGTTGTAAATTCAAATCTCGGAAATCTCTAAAATGATTTGAGATTCAAATCTTTATGCTTTTTTCGTCATTCAAATCTTTCAGATCCTAACCTAAGAACTTGTTAAACTTTTCTGTTCTAAAATTTGGAAAGATTAGTTTTATTCACATTTTGTTAAAGCTTTTTTAAAAAATAGTGCAGTTATTGCAATCTTGGTTGAACTAAGTTGTCTGTATTATCTTATGACAGCTTCCAAATGGCATGTTCTCAGTTTTCTGTGAGAATTTGTCTGTATTAATTCTTGATATAATCCTATCTGTTCTGCAATTAGGCAAGACTGATGAACTTATCGTCAGTCTGTAACATTCTACGTTTGGATGTTGCTAGAGACTTATATGGTAACAACTTTAATAAGCAAATACTGATTTTGAGATCTTCGGAAACAGAGCTTTTAGGATTCAGATACTGCTGCCACCCGAGTGTAAACTTTCCTGACTAATTGACTAAAGGGATCTGCCTCTGGAGATTTTATTTCACATAGTCTAGCCCACCAAAGTTTACATTTAGGTGTGTATCTTACAGCTCTAGTGTATGTCAGTAGCAGAGTTGCCAACTCTTCCGATTTTAGACCGCTCTCCTGCCAACCCAATTTACAATATATTTCTCCCGACTTTTACTTATTCTTAAAATTTCTCACGATTTTTATGGAACTTGGCTTAATACTTTGTTATGATGTGATTTATGGTGAAATAGAAAATCAGAAGAAATATGAAGATTTGGTAATAGGAGCTGCAACTACAAAAGTAGTGGAAGAACTTTCAGAAGAAGACAAAAATAAGTTTTATCTTCATGTTAGAAGTTACTTCTGTCAAGTATGTGATTACATACTATATAAATTTCCAGGCAACGATGAAGTGATTTTGCATGCTAAAGTTGCTGTTGTTTCTGCTGTAGCAAATGCATCTTTTTCTGATATAAGGTACTTTTGAACAGATTTCCTGTGTTATTTCATTTAGTCATGAAAGAGATGATCATATTGATGTTGCCACTGATAAATATTGCAGTCGCAGTTTTGAAGTTTACAATTAGAAAACTTGAATGAAGTTATAAAATCAGCTAGGATTGACACCCAGTGGAGTTTAATTGGAAAACTGAAAGGTGCTGATGGAATTTTAAAATATAGTGAACTGTCTGGAATTATGTTGGCCATCTTGACAGTTCCCCATAGTAATGTAGAGTGTGAGAGGATTTTCAGTGTTGTTGCGAAAACGAGGACTAAATTTAGGTCTAATATTAGTGATGACACGCTAGAAAAAACTTTTATTAGCGAAAGCAGGCCTACGTGGCAATTGCTATGAACAAAATTATGAAGTTTCTTTCTTAACAAAAGCAAAATCTGCCACTGTTCATAACATTTGTACAAAAACTGATTAAAGTGGGTTTTTTTTTTTAATTTTTTAAAATTTTTTATTATTATTTGTTTGTTTTCTTAACCGATGCAAGTAATAAAAAAATTTTTTATGTGTAAGGTATTTTTGTCTTGCTTGCATTTCAGAATTAGTAACTATTTAAAGTTAATTCTTTATTAAAAACAATATTTTTAGCATTTAAAAAGCCTTTTTAACATTGTGAAAAATCTGATTTTTGAGTGTCATAGGTTGGCAAGTAGTAGATATCTACTCTCTAACCACGTTTAGCTGATCCATGTGATGTTTCCGTGTAGGGGCAAAAAAGCCCAGTTTCTTTACAGAAAAGGATAGTCAGTGTCAACAAGATGTGACAATTTTAAAATGCATATTATTTGGTGGGAATACACTCTGTTTTTTACTTCCTTGTACGAAGTAAAAAGGAAGTATTGTAATCGCGAAAAGTTTCAGGCAAATTTTTTAACGAAAATATCCATTTTGACCGCTATCGAATGCAATTTAACGATGTTTTTGCATGACATCTGTACGTAAGGACAGAATAAAATACTCTTTTCCTCCAAAAAAAATTATAAAACTGCTTTAAAAGTTAATTCTGAAGAGAATTTTTCGTGGCGTCTGTACGAATGTATGTATGTACGTACGTATCTCGCATAACTCAAAAACGAGTAGCCTCAGGACGTTGAAATTTTGTATATAAGACTGCTATAACATGTAGATGTGCACCTCGTATTTTGGTTGAAATCAGCCGCACCAAACTTATATAAATATATTTATATATATATCCACTCTATTACCCGGCTCAGTGATCTCAGTTTCTTCACTCTTATATGTTTGTAAATTGTACATTTTTTTGCTTTAAAAATGATTGTACTATGTTGTTTTTATCTTCCGGTTAAGGTTTTTATACCTTTAGTACATCTGTATGCAATATTTTTAGAATAATCAACAATTTTAAAGTTCTCTAAGTGCCGCTAAGCCTTTTTTTAATGGCGGCCATTGATGTTTACATTTGAAACAGGAGACTAGTGGATTCGTTGCCAATCTAGAGAAACTTAGCTTCGCAACAACAAAGATAACGCATTCATTTATTATTGCCAATTAAATCATGCTTAATTCTTTCTGGAATTTTTTCGAGGAAATAAGTGTTTAAGATTTACTTCGTAATTTTTAATATAGATATTTTGAGTTTTTATGTATTTTTGCCTTCTCGTGAACTGAATTAATTAAATGAGAAATACTCAATCGTCTGTGAAAAACTGTTGCTTTTTTGTTTTGTTTGCTTAATTTCTTTTATACCTCATTCTAGCTTTATTATAGTATTTGAATAGAACATATGGCAACGATTAGATAATTCTAATCTTTAAATGATATAAATTTTGTGCGTTATGAGTTATAATATGAACGAAATTATATAACAGTTAACTTAGTTTCTGTTATATAATTTTTATACAAGTTAACTGTTATATAATTATTAATACTGTTAAGTGAATCTAGCGCCAGAGTGTCGCTATGGTAAACAAATACTAGAGTGAATTTTAAAGAATGCATTTATTCTATTGTGGTTTACGTGCTGTCGGCGAAGTAGATTTAATTCAATCCAGTAAGTTTAAATGAAATGCAAGAAAAATTGCGCATAATTTAATATTCTGTACAAGGAAGTCATGTGGTGTACACATCAGATTTTTTTAATACAGATTTGCATGCATGGCTGAAATATATTATGCGGAATGGCACTAGTTTCCAAACAATGGGCTAGTCAACATTTGACATGTTTGATTCGGACACACAGTCAGTACTGTTACTATGCTAATAAAAAAATGTTACTTTGCAAAATGTTTTATTAAATTGTGGTTACTATGAAATAAATTTGCTACAAGAGTCTTAATTTTTTTTTCTAATAAAAAAGGCATTAAGAACTATTATTGGTTATTAGACTCATGTGTCTTATTTAGTAGAGTTGCAGGATTCTTTTATTATCATCGTTATTATTATTATATTATTGCATTTTTAAATTATATCAATTGCTTTTGTAATTTGAATCAAATAAAAAAATTTTAACTTCATCTTGGATGTTGTTAAAGATAAATTGTTCATAGTACTAACTTGGCAAAACTTTCTATCTCTCCCAATACCCATTATCAGTACAGTGAGTTTGTAGAAACAATTTATTGGCAACCTTGTAAAAGTTTTAGGGAAAACAGTTGGAATAAATCTCATTTGTGAATTTTTGTGGACAGAAAGGAAATGTTTTGCTTCTATAACTAAGTGTATATTCTATAATATATGCATAGCGGCCGTCTGCAGAGAGTCAAATATTGTTATTTTCTACACTCATCCTTAGTTAAAATAATTACACAAATGATTTGTTTCAATTTGAGTTTTATTTATTTATAGCTAAATTAACATAAAATTTATTCTGTGGTAAGAATTAAATAAATCTGTTAATTGGCTTGGAGATATTTTATTAAATTTGAATATGAAATTTGCGTTAGAGTCAAAATATTTTGAATATTATATAACAGAAACGGACAGAATTTTATGTCAAATAAAAGCTCCAGAAATGTCGAATGCCAGATGCATGAAAATTCTGGATAGTTGAACATATAAATGCAGTTCACACTAGGAATTCCAAATAAATGGAAAAAGAAATTTCCAGTCTAAAATTATAAAAACAGTCATTTTATTTGTTATTAGCTTGGAATATTAACATTTTGTGTTTAACATTACCATAAAATTTCGAAAAAGAAAAAAGGATTTCACACATTCCAGTCATTTTGATAGAAGTTTGAAAGAACTCGATGTTCTTTATTTAGTTAGATCGTAATTGCCCTTCCTCCCCCTTTTTTTAGCCCAGAGGGGCTATTAGTCTCGAAACAGCATTTTGCCTCAAATCACTTTTCAAATTGTTGCCATCAAATATTATCACCCTGTATATTATATTTAAAGAAATTAAATAAGGAAGCATCTACATGAATGTATGATGTTTCTCGCATTATGCAAAAATGATGACACCTAGAACCATCAAATTTTGAATAACGTAATCCTCCACCCAAACATGGATTTATTTTATTATCTGTTTCATATTTTGTAAAACTTGAATGAATTTTGGTTAAAAAACTCAAGGATTTCAAAGTTAACAGTGGCAACACTGTACAGAATAAAACAGTTTTATCTCCAGCCCGACACTATCAGAAATTCTAAAGGTACGCTGTTTTTAAATATTTTTAGTCCGAATGCTTAAAGAGCATTCATGTATGTGTATGTAAATGGGAAAAAAAGTCAGTTTGGACATAATATGAAATCTGAATGTTTTTTTTTTTTTTTTTTTTTTTTTTTTTTCCTGTACTCAAATAATATTGAATTTCATGCTATAGATGCACACTTTTCTTGATGCCAAAATCCCTTCATCTAGGGTAGGTCCAAAAGTTTAAAGCAAAAAACTCTCATTTGGTTCAACTGTTTCTCTCATTTGGTTAGTTTTTCAGAGGAAAAAATGTTCTGAAATTTTAAAAATATTCCTATTACTTGAACTTTCCGATTAGATGAGTGCCGGTTAGTTGAGGTTGTTATACTGTAATTGTCAAAAATTTATGCTATATAACTGTACATATTTCCTGTTGTATCAAAAAGACTCTTGATTATAAATAATAATTTAGTTAAAAGAGTAACATTTGTGAAATGTAGCCATTAGGTAATTAAAAGTTATCAATCAATATTTTTTATTTGTAGTTAAAAAAGAAGCATAAAAATAATGTAAAAGGAATAGAGAGCCCATCTAAGAGTGATGCCATCGAAGAACTGCATAGTGCTTTTGAACTAGCTGAACGATCCTATGCAGGTATTAGTGACTTATTTGTGAAGGAAGTATTTCATCGTTTATTGCCTTCATACAGTAGTCACATGTTACAAGATATACTGGATAAGCTATCCAGGTATGTTATTTTTTAAAATTTCCTTTTATACTTAGTTAATTTCCCTTTGTATATTTTGAGTTATTGTTCAAATATATAAAACAGTGTTTACCTGGAGATAACTTTCTGTCCATTACGATACTGAATATTTTAAACTAGAAATTTTATTTAAACTGATTATCTTAATCCATAACGTAATATAACAGTATTGCAAGATCTTTGTGAATGATTTAGTTTTAATCACAACATTTCAGTTAAATATAGAAATTCTGCAAGCTTCGATTGTAGTGCTTTGGAACTGATTTTGAAAGCATCGAGAGGGATGAAGTGCTAGTATCTTAAATCCGTTGCAGATTGAAGTTACTAAATCCTAATTATTAAATAAAAATTTCATGTGAAATTCATTACATATTTGTACCTATTTCAAATAGATTTTCAAGGAATTTTCCCCCCCTGCTAATAGTATTTTTAGTCATAAGGCATTGAAATGTAAATTTCTATATTTCTGAGTTGAATTGTAATAAATTCATTGTGAATTGTCTTTAAGCAAATTTCTATAGTTGTAACATTTTAATAACAATAAAGCTTTATAATTTATCTGTTATATATTATTTGGCTTAATACTGTAATATTTTATTAAAATATTATAATATTATATAATTATATTTATGTTAGCAATATTGTATTTCTGCTGTGCTAATGAAACTAAGAATTCTCACATCAATGTAAAATTATTCTCCTGTTAAGTGACTGTGTTAATTTGTTAATAATATACTGGTACAAGAAGGTAGATAGTTCGTAGGTTTTTTTCTAACAAAACTTTCTGTAATTCTGTAATTTTTCTGTTTCTATATTCCTTTATTTGCTTAAAAAGTAATCAAAACTTGAGCCATAATATTTTCCAAAATTTCAGTTGTTTAACAGGTTGTTTGAAAGTTGTTAGGAATTCAAAATATCATACCTGAAAAGCAGTTGTTGTTAATATACTTAAGTTCTTATGTTTGTAAACAAGTCATTAATTTTGCCTGTTAGTGTGGAATACCAAGTCTAAAACATGTAAAAAGCTGTCTTGTGAAATATGAGAGTAGTTGCTCTTCTAATTAAAAAAATTGTCTCTTGTGTGTCTGAAATGTTCTGGTATTATAACATGGGGGTAAATTTACATTGCAAAAGGATGTAATTATCCTGTTGAGAATATTATGCTGAATTACGAGGATTGGAACTTTAATAGTGGCAACACAGCTGAAAAAACACTACGCAACAAAACCAAAGGATATCGCGTATACCACATGTGAACTACATACCTACCTTACCTCTCAGCAAAAAGACTCGTCCTGCCTACGTCACGCACATGCGGAGTGACGCGAAAAATGGATCCTTGTATTAGCTCGCGGTCTAAAGTAAGTGTTGTCAGGATGTTTTCAAAACAAGAACAACGATGTTGGATAAAAACTGAATGTGCCAGAGGTCGTACAGCATGACAGTGTCATCAAGGGCTTCAAGAGGCTTGCGGGGAATCTGCATTGCCTTACAGAACCGTAGCAAGATGGGTGAAAGCATTCAATGAAGGACGGCAAAACGTGGCAGACATGCTGCGGCCAGGTCGTCCGAGTGTCAGCGATGCAGACGTGCAAGCTGTTGCCACACTAATAAACAGTGATCGCTGCCAAATGATTCGTCAGCTGGCCGGACAAACAGGATTAGCGATGCCTGTCCATGAGAAAAATTGCTTCACGATGGGTTCCACATCAATTGACGGAAATGCAGAAATGGCTACGATACGATGCTGCCCGAACCCACCTGGAGCGCTATGAGCACAAAGGAGATGCTTTTTATGCTGTATCACTACGCTGGATGAGACTTGGGCCCGATCATACCAGCCAGAACTGAAACGCCAATCAAACGAATGGCGTCGTCACGGGTTACCACAACGTTCGAAATTTTGTCAGAACCCCAGCAATGTGAAAGTTATGGTGATTCTCGTGTACGACTGTGATGGTGTCATCCTAACGCATACCGTTCCCCCACTAAAGACCGTCACTGCGCAGTATTACTGCTCATTTTTGGAGCACAATCTCCGACCAGAACGCTCCTCTTATTTTGCATGACAATGCTCGGCCGCATGCAGCGCAAGCTGTGACTGATTTGTTCAAGTGATGGGGCTGGGAAGTGCTTTACCATCCACCATACTCCCCAGATCTAAGACTTAATTCTTAAGATGAAGGAACCAGTTCGTGGCATTCGCTTCCAAACTGTTCCTGAGATTCTTGCTGCAGTAGACCGGTCCATTCAAACTTTCAACAAAACAGGCACTGCTAAAGGTATTCTGCGACTTCCACATCTTTGGAAACGGGTTCTACACAATGCTGGCGACTATATTGAAGGATTGTAAAACATGGTGACATGAATCACTTTTGTATTCCTTGTAAATAAATAGTTGCCACTATTAAAGTTCCAACCCTCGTATTTGAAATATTGCACTGAACAAAATTTTATTGTCTGAATATTTTATCGCATGAACAACTTATTATTGAATGATTTAATATTGTTACGAATTGTCCAGGTGCGGTAGGATGGCTTCTCTGCAAAGGAGTTTTAGGTTTGCTATAAAATGGCAAGAGAAGGCAGGGCTCCCACATTTGGCGAGACATCGCCCATTTGGTGACATTTGCCGATATGCCATAGATGGATGGAGAACCTTCTGGAATGATTTCTGACCAGTTTAGCCCAGAATGTTCTTGAACACAAGCCAAAAGCTATATACGGAGACTCGGTTAGCTGCGAGTCAGTCCGTGTGGAGTGGTTCGAATTGACAGTGTCAGTCAGCGAGAACGCCAAGTGTGTCGTCGAGTGCACTGAAAGAGTCTCTTAGTGTATCGCGATTAGTGCATTATCGAGAGAGAGTGTGTTGAGCTCCGGGAACGACTGAACCGAGGAGTCGGGAGCTGTACTCTAGGGTATCATCGAATGCATTGCGAGTTGTAGCGTGGAGAGTCTCGAGAGTATGTGGAATTCCGAGAACGACCGAGCGGAGTTGAGAGCTGTACTCTGGTGCTTTGCAGTTAAGATGTCTTCACCGTGATAGTCTGATAACCTGAAGGCTGTGTTGCTGATTGTGTCAGCGTGTTTATAGATGTTCTTCGATGACAGTAAACATGCTATTTGAGGTGTCCTGATTAATATTGGCTAAATAAAGTGTGTTTGGATACTTTGTCAAGTGCTGTCTTCGTAATTCATTCCAAATCCACACGGACTTCATACAAACGTGAAGGAAAAAATAACATAACATCTGGTGTCAGAAAATAACGTAACAATATCTATAAATTTTTTCCATGAGCGACTCGGTTTCTTATGTGAGGGAATAGAAAGGAATCCTTTTCCAAATTATAACTGTCAAAATTATTTTCATCTCTCTCATGTATAAGAATGATTCAGAACAGTTGATTATTTGTTGATTATTTTCATGGGACGGGGAACCTGGATATCATAATAAAATAGAAAGAAAAATAAAACTAGATATAATGAAAAATGTTATTAAAAGTATGTTCTTCAAGATTAATTCATAGATATATATAATGAGATGTTTATAAATTTCAATTAAAATATAATAATATTAATATAAAATATAATTAATGTAGCATAAAATTAATATAAAAATTGTTGAAATTTGCTTGGTCTTTTTCAAGGAGCAAATGAAGAATTTTTAAGAGAACCATTTTTCTGGATTACATTTGGATGATTATAAATTCTTGAAATAATTCAAAAGGAACTGCCAAATGAAAAATAATTTAATTAAAATTATTAGTTAAAGTCTTTTACAAGTGCAGTTAAAAGGGCTTCGAAATAATAAATTTTATCTCTTGTATGCTACTTTATAATTCTGAAAAATTAATTAAAAAGGCTATTTTAATTCTTATATTGATTTATATGAACCGTCAGTTTGAAGTTTAAACTTTTTCAAATAAAAATATTTATTTAATATTTTGGTACTCAGTAGATGGGAAAGAGATTTAAGTCTTATTCTTGTAAGACGTGCAAGAATGAAATCAGAAGTAAAGTTAAAAATGAAAATTATTGTCTCTATTTTACCATTGTGAATTCTTTTAATATTTCCTATGCTGATAATTGATATAGCTTTGCACATAGCTGCTTTGTCTCCTTGTTTTTTATCATATCTCCCGCTAAAATCACAAACCTCTTAGTTTTTAATTTTTAACCTTTGCTAAAGAAAGTATCTCCCAGCAATAAACAAAATTTATTGAATTAAATTGAGTAAATTTTATCCCAGGAACTCTAGCGATTTTTAAAATAATTTTGCATATTAAATTTGATTTCATGTGTAATGTGCATTTTTTACATTTTTATTAGTCTTCCTAAATTTCATTTAATCTGAGTTGTATTAATCTACTGCAGACATTAATACATTTTTATATGAAAATTCAATGTCTTTAATCAGTTGATATTTTGTATTTAATTTTATTTTACTTCAGTGTATGGTGCATTACTAAGTTTGGTTACACAAATACAACATACGTTAATTTTTAATTTTATTTCCATCATATTTAAAAGTATTTTAATAAATAAAGTTTCACTATTTAGAATTTTCTCAGTTATAAAATGTCGAGAAAATTTTTTAAATGACAGAAAATTTAGATTATCTAATTAAATGATAATATATTTTACATCAGTTGTATTACAAATAGTTCAGTAATTTAAATCATGCATTATAAAGTGAATTAAAGTCAGTTTGAAGTTAATTTGGAATCGTGTCTGTGCGATGCATGAAAGCATCCAGTTTTTCTCACAAAATTCTCTCAATTTTTAAGATTTCAAAGTTGTTAGTTATGTTTGCTGAATGAAGTCACTTAAAAAAAATCTGCCAGTCGAAAATTTTTTTGAGAAGCTGGAGATAAAAGGAAAAAAGTACAAGATTTCAGCCTTTGGAATGTTTTTGATCAAAATACATATGCAGCTAGCAAAGTTATTTTGTGATTCTCAGTGGCCAAGCCATTTAGCTAAGCAGGCAAGTGTGTCTTTGATCCTACTCATTATTTCCTCCCTCTTCAAATTCTAGTAGCTGGGCTCTTGCTCATATTAAGCATTTGTTGAAAATGTTTGATCCCTTCTGTCATTTAGCTATCTGATCACTGAGAACTTTGCACGGAATACACCAAGGGTTAGATTAATATTGAATCCTTGAGACAGTAGGCATAGACAACTATTAACATCCATGCCTTCTCCAACATTTGAAAGGATATGACAACTGATATTGCTAAACTCATACTGAACAAGGTGGCCTACTTATGATATTTGATGAAGCTACTTAGGTGGTTATATCAGGAAAAATACCTAGCGGCAGCATTTAAGAGTTGAAAAATTTTTTGCAATTTAAGAGATTGGTGGGCAGCAAAATTTTTAGAATTTAGGACCCTTGTCAAAGTGCTTAGTGCAAACCTTGTGTCTCAGATATGTGGATAAGAATATTTTGTAATATTATGAGGTATTTCTCCCACTTTCCTAGCGTCCTTCGTGGTGTAGTGGTTCTGCACGCTGGGCCGGTATTCCAGATGTCGTTGGTTTGATTCCCGGCGAAGGCATTTGCTATTTTTCATCTTGCCTGCTTTAAAAAAAATACCTAATGATTCTACAGTGGCGCCCTAACTAAAAGGGGTGTAGATGATGATTCTCCGCACCCAGGATTTGGCGACTAGTTCCTCTAAAACCATAGTCGCCCTTTAAAAAGGGGAGTATATAAGGTATTTCTCCCACTTTCCTAGCATCCTTTGGAATACTGGGCCGGTATTCCAGAGGTCCGTGGTTTGATTTCCAGCGAAGGTGTTTGCTATTTTTCATCTTGTCTGCTTAAAAAAAAATACCTAATGTCTCTACAATATAAGTTGATTTATAATAGGTGTTAGCAATCAAATGTCTCTGCAAGTTTATTACAGGGGGGAGAAAGACATTTCTATATTAAAATTCTACTTTCCGAGAAATTGTCAAAATTTTGAAAGTTGACTCTATAGTTGAACTAGACATTCTGTATTATTCTAAAAATTTTGCAGTAGGGAATTCTGTTATATCTAAGTGTTATGGTTTTTAAAATGTTCAAGTTACGTGATAAATCTGTACTTACATTTGTGTTTTGTTTTTTTATTCCAGGGATGGATCATAGGTACAAAGAAAAGAAATAGGCAATTCTGTGAGCCCTGTGAATTTTATCTGCTATCTATATTTGGAACCTATATATAGATCTATATATATATAAATATAAATATATCCACCTTGTGTGCCTAAAATGGTATGGTCCCCCTAAACTCCGTACATTCCATATGTATTCATGTTTTGCTCACCATCGGCTACAAATTCTGACTTTCAGTTTAAAAGCATAAACATCTCAATTCTAAATAATGAATGAAAGCTCTATAAATATATATATACATTTATATATATTTATGAACACAGGGTATTTTTAGATGGTCACTTTTTAATGGACATATTTTAAAAAAGTGCATCAGATGTTCCCTGCTGTATGCACAGAAATGCATGGACAGTGAATGGTTTATCTTCTCTTTGAAAAAGAATCAATTTCTTGTTGTTTGTTGTTATGATATGTTATTATTGAATATTATGAATGAATCATTCCAAATCTAGTAGTTAATGAAGCACTACTTGAAAGAGATATTTATACCATATCATGTCTGTACTCTGTGATACTGCGTACATTGTAGCATTTTTGGCCATTTTGAACTAGCAGATCAAACAATGAAATGCTAAGGATGTGGTAACTCAGCCGTGAAATATCGGATATTGAAAAATCTTTTGAAGAAATTATACAACTATCATTTTTCTTTCACCACCACCTCCACCACACCCTGAAGTACCACCACTGGACAATTCCCCTCCTAATCTAATTAGTGTGTAGTGTTAGAGAAGAGTGTGTAGTTGTTATGATGATTACGAGTGATTGTTACTCTTCTCAGAAGAATGTGTAAGCATGTAGTAATATTATTATCTCTATAATAGGAAAAAAAGTTATACATGTAAATTAAATACAGTCAAAGAAACCTAGTTTTCGAAATATTTTGTCTTGCTGCCTTGCAAAATAAATAAATAAATTTTAAAAATGCTCCTTTACAAGACTGATCCAGCATTCGTCCACTTAATGCTTATACTAGAATCTGCAACTGAAGGTAATTGATTGTGCAATTGAAATTATGTTATTCAGATAATTTATATTTATCTATTTTGTATTTTTAAAAACCTTTAATTTACGTAAGCTGCTTCCCTAATTCTTGTGAATTTCGGTAGTGAAATTTGCAGTTAGGCTTTATAAAAAAAATTTTGTGTTTATAAATTTGCTGATGTGAAGTTATTTGAATGAGCTCAACTAGTTAAATTCAACAGTGAAATTATGTAGCCTCAGATTTCCAACGATATTGAGTCTTAAATTTTATCCATATTAGTTTCCATCGAGGCTTGTTGTGCGGCAATATGTGGTTTTCAGTTATGTAATTGTGATTTTTAATTTTTATTGCTACGGAATAGCTCTATAATATTTTGCATGCTCGAGAGAGAGATGCCGTAATCAGGAGATGCGTCTCAAATATATCCGATTCGATATTTCCCTACATTCTTGTATATTGGAAATCTGGTGCTGTTTTACTATGAATTAAAGAGATATCATCACAAAGAGATTAATATTTTCTTACTATTTCTCTACTGAAAGTTGGCAGTAAGTCCTTTATCTGAAATTATATCCTAATCTATGTACCTTTTGGAAAGGAACATCTAAGCTCAAAATACTTATTGTCGTGCTTATTTTATTCGTCTGATTTTTCAAGTAATGTTTAAAATGTGCAATTACTTGATGTTTGTGTTTTGAACTGTTTTATTAAACCTGATAATGTTTTAATCATAATAAACAAGGCAAAGAAAACATCTGTGTCTTAAATTGTTATGTAAGTTTTATTGCCATGAAGTTACTCTTTACTGTATTGTATTGCCATAATTCATGTAAAATAAGCAGGTTGTATTATTGTGTCATTGTGTATCATTTGAAACTTAGGCACTCTTTATTTGCTCATGCAGCACTTCTGTTTCATTCGTTTTGGCTGTAACTTTAACTCTGCTCCTTCTTCTTCTTCTTTTTGAGTTGCTCTGAATGTGCTGTTATTTACTGTAATAATGTAAAGAAAAATCATTTATTGCAGGTTATCATTTTTCTGAGTGTGTGTGTTTTTTAAATTTCAGTATTCGTAGAAACTCTTATATTTAAATGAAATCTGCAAAATGAAAATCAAGTGCATGAATCATTTGAAAAATGAAGATAACTGTATTGTGCATGGTCAAAATAATAATAAACTCTACATTACGTGGCCAAAAAATTTCAATAAAACTCTGCACTTTAACAGTAATCTAAGCATTTTGCAAATGATGTCGATTCTTAATGTCGATCTGTGCATTTCAACAGTGCTCAAGTGCTTAGATCACTGTAATCCATGCACTTTTAACAATGATTCATTTGCATTTTTTTATATTTTTCTTGGTAATTTTAAATAAATCTTCAAACTAGTTATCGAAGTTGAAATTTTATAATTTTCTTCGTTTTTTTTTTTTTTTTTTTTTTTTTTTTTTTTTTTTTTTTTTTTTTTTTTTTTTTTTTTTTTTTTTTTTCCGTGATATGTTTTTGTAGGGTGAGTTACTGCTGTTCTCTGATTGTAATAAATGTCTTCTTTTATTAATGGAGAGTTATTATTCAGAAGTATCACCGTGCTTGTTATAAGTCTGTCTTTTTTTGCAGTATCCATGTGTAAAGTGACAAAGAGTATACTTTGTTCAGTATTTTGTAATTTTTACTTTGTAAGTCAAGTTCTAAAATAAGGCATATCTGTGAGGCTTTTTGTGCCACAACCATAAATTCATTTGATGTTTACATTGTACACTGTTTGAATAATGTATAATTTTATCTATTTTAATTAAGAGTTCATTTGAGTAAAAATATTATTTCTAAGTTATTCACTATTTTATTTCATCCTTTTTTATAGATTATGTAACATTTGTAAAAATTTAAATTTCTTCTTTCATAAAATTTTAATTTTTTCAAAGCTTTGTTCAACTATCCTTCAGTAATTATATTTCATATAGAATATTTTTTATTTATTTAGTTTTATGTGTTGTTTGAAAATATGCAAGAATAATGTAAAATAAATGCAAATATGTTACCAAATCATCTTCTGAAGGAAAATATTGTTGCTCATCGTTTGAACTTATTTGTATTAAAGGTATTGAGTGTAATAGTTATTGTAAAAATAGTTTATTATAGTTCCAATGTAGTTATCATCGTGTCATAAATTTGTTTTGCCATTTTATCCATCTGAAATGATGGTATGGCTATTTCCATTATGTCGTGATTTGTAATTTAATCTTTTACTCTGAATTTTTATTTTTAAATTCTGTTTTTGGTGTACTTACCTTTCAATTCCATAGAAAAAAGCAGTACTTGGTTATTTTTAAGAAATGAAAACCAGGGATTGTTGAAAATATAATTATTTTTTGGTTATGAGGGATGAATGTAAATATTTGAATTATGAGAGTTGAAATTAAAATGTGTTTATTTAGTGACAATGGTGTGTTTATTAAATTATCAAATTACAAGAGCAGATTTTATATAGATGTTGACATATAATTTTAGTTTCTCACAGTCAGTAACAAAATGCCATATTTCTGGATATAAAATAACTGCATTTTTAAAGTTTTGTTACACTAAAATGTAAGAGCTTAATTATAAAATATCCCTATATACGTATCAGCTTAACATATTGAAGAATTTTACAGCTAATTAAATGATCTGAATACTGTTCTTAAAGGTAAATATTTCTTTTGTGCGTGAAAAGTGCCAGTAATAAGTTACAGAAATGTTAGATATCATGCGTAAAATTGTTAATTTTCAGAATGAAATTTTAAGGGAAGGAAAAAAAAAAATGTGTATGATTATTTAAGACAGTACATTAACTTCATTCATATTTTTAAATCTCCTTTCCCTTTATTTTGATTACTAAATTTTATACCATCTTCAGAACATTTGCTGTTCTGATTTTGAACTGGGAATAAACCATTAATTAATTTAAGAATAACATTGTTTTTAAAAAACATGTTCTTGATTCATTTATAATGTTCCATCAAAATATATAATACCTGCAAAAATGTAACTAATTTTAATGATCATGTTCCTTTTTATATTGTGATATATAATGTATATATAATGAATAATAATGATAATTAATGTACTTCCTGTTTAATTTCAATGTAGGTTTTATATGTCTTTAAGATGGGCTTGGTTACCAGGACAGTGTCTGAAAATTATCAAGTTTCCAGCATAGCTCATTCCGAGATACCAATATTAACTGATAAATTTGCATCAGACATGCGTATATCGGGTGACCATTCATAGTTCATGTTCCTGAAAACCATTTCACAATTTATATTTTTTTAGCAGAATTTGTCGATCGCATGCAATTTTTAAGCAAGCTCCGGGAAGCAAGGAAAATTATGATAGTGGTTTAGATAAAAAATTTATCATCTTTAAAATTGGTTCTACCTGTGTTGCCTTTGAAAGGATTTTGCAATAAACTAGAGTGACCAGATTTTTGCACTGCTAGTTCTTTGGAGCAGTAGCATATTCAAACAATTAACAGTTTGTATTCCATCTAGATTTCCTTATCTTTATTACAATTAATTGTACCATTAAAACATTCTTTACTAATTAAACATTATATTTCAGGATTATCCTAGGTTCTATTGAGCATATATTTGGTTTATTTCAATTCTTTTAACAATTTTTAGAATACACTTTTTGATTAGTTTCTGTTAGTAATAAGTGCAATTCCATTGTTATAAACTTTTGAATAAAATATAAATACTATCGAAAGTGAAAAATTGCTGCTTTAGCTTTTGTTTCAGTTTTGTACGGAGATGTTACTTGTTGATTAAATGATTATAGTAGAATATGTGAGACCAATCCATCTATCATAGGAGGGATGCTTTTTTTGTGGAGAACTTGTCAAGGAATTGCCTCCATATTAATGTTACACTTGGAGAAAATTGTAGTAACCCATGCAAGTTGCCTATACATTCAGAATTTAATCCAATTTTCAGTGCCATTTTCCAATGTTAGTTTCTAGCCATTTTTTAATTATTTAGCTTTTAATCATATTTTTGAAAATTGTTCATTGAAATAGTTTATTATTAGATATTTTTCATTCATCAAAATGTTTTTAGAAAAAGAATTTTTCCCCCCAAATCTGTAGTCTAATTCAACTTTTAAACAACTTGGCATTATCTTTAAAAAAATTGTTTTCTTTATTGTAAAATGATGCAAAAATTATTATTGTCAATCAGTTAGAACAAAGTAAAATTCTGAAAGGAAAAAAAAAAAAAAAAAAAGAGGAGAAAACAAAATCTGAAAGATTTCAGACGTTATATTATGCTCAAAGGGGCATTTTTTTACGTTTTGTGTGTTATTTTTATTTATTAAATATCATGTTCTTTACACTTAAACCATAAAATTCCATTCATCAGTAATATCCCATATTTAAAAAGAGCATATCTTTAGAATTTTCGATACACAGTCTTCACACACTGGATATATGTATATGCATGTATTTTTTTTTTTTTATATAGTGATGAAATCGTTGAGTTTGTTAATCAGAAATTTGTTAAAAGTTTTACAAAATTTGTACATGCTTATATCAGGTGACCATTCATAGTTCATGTTCCTGATAACCATTTTACGTTTTCTTAGCAGAGTATTTGAAATTCAAAATTCGGGCTTCCATGTTTGGGTGTTGGACCACGATATTCAAAATTGGATGGCTCTAGGTACCGCTGTTTGTTTGACAGTCCAAGAAACCTTCATGCACTCATGCAGATTCTTCATTATTTAGTTCTTTACATATAATACAGGGCTGTAATATTTGTTAACAGTTTGAAAAGTGATTCACACTTTTCTAGTGAACCAATGCAAAATGCCAAAACGAAATTAATAGCGCGTCTGGGCAAATTGCTCCTTTGGGCTAAAAGAAAAAGGAAGAGCCGAGAATTGCATATCAGTTGTTGCCATGAACTACATTCATAAAAACATAATTAGACTTTCATAAATAATCTTTTTAAGATTATTATTAATGAAAGTAATTGAAGAATTTATTTCTGAATTTTTAAGTCTTCTCACTTTTTGCTCTTACAGAGTTGGTACGGACAAGTTTTCTTTCAGATTTTAGACCTTGCACCTCGGAAGGTCTAAAGGCGAGATTATATAGACCTTACAATGTTAAAAAAAAAAAAAAAAAAAAAAAAAAAAAGATAAATTTAAAAAATGTGATAAAATGAAAAGTGTTTTCATGCTGTTAATACATAATGGATGTGTTTTATTGGAAATTTCTGATGAATTACTTATCTTTTGGAGAATTTTTTGGTAGAACAGTGAAAATATAATTATTTGAGCTTTTTCCTTTTGATTCTAGAAGTCTTTCTCTTAATATTTTCCCTTTATTTTCTGATCTTTCTACTAGGCACAAGCATCAAAGAAATTGAAAACTGACAGTTAATTGAAATATTCATCATTTATGCCTCATTGCACCATGTGCACCTCAATGCTTGCCCTAAATGTTGTTGCTGGCTGCTCCTTGAAATTGTCAAATACACTGTCTAAGGTGCCGGCCTTGAACTGATATCATTTCATATTTATTTTCAATACTCATATTGTTAAAGAAATAAAATTAGCAGTTTCTTCTTTACATTTTAAGTACAAGCAGTTCTTTATAATAACAACAATCTTCAATGAAGTCTAAAAATTATAAAATAGAGGAAATTCATTAAAAAAAAAAATTCGTTTTATAAGGAGAGAAAAAATTATTCTTCAAAGGTAGATTTTTGAAGTATTGACACATTAGGAGATGAACCAGAGACTACTGGAAACACTGATTAGTTTATTGAAACAAATAAACTTGGAAAAGATGTTTAAAAGAAGAAATTCAATGTAAATTAACAAAAACATCTGAAAAGTTTTCAAGTTAAACAGACACGTAAACATTTTGTTTGTTGTTGTTGCTACAAAATACAAATGTATTATAGTTTTTAATGTATAATAGTTTTACTCATATCATTTTAGAATCCTTATCATAAATTATAACTGCTGTAAAATGTTCTTAGTAATATTTTTAATGAATATTTTTAGACATAATAATAATAATAATAAAAAGACTGTAATTGTAACCATGTAAATCTATTATGAACAAGAATATTCCTTAATCTGTATTGTGTATGCAACACAAAAATGTAAAAATTAACGTAAAAAATATATTCCTTAGAGCTTAACTGGGTCAGACAAGGCTATCTTTTAGTACAATTTAAATAAAAAGCGACTAATTTTCTTTAAACTATGTGGGACTGTTATAAGTGTAAAATATAAATGTTTCAACAAATTTTATAATTTAACTCTAATTACTTGAAAACATTTATGAAGGTAATGTTATTCTTGAATTTGTTTTATAATTAAGTTAAAATATTAGATTATGTTTAATAATAATGTATCCAACTTACAGATTTATTTTATTATTACAAATTACAAGCTTGGGTGTAGGTAATTGCTTTATTTATTCAGTTCGTATTTGCTTGATTGGTTCTTAATTTTTTCCTACATGATAAGCATTCTGTAGATGTGCTCTGGCTTGTTGGCTTGATTTAAACTAATGGCCAAGTGAAGTTTTTTTTTTTTTTTTTTTTTTTTTTTTTTTAATATTATTACAATAAATATGTGGTGCTCTGTACAGAAATATTCTACATTTTCTGGATTACATCATTTCTTTGAAATGTGTATTTAAAGTACATAAGTATTTGATTATCAGCTCGTTATATCTAAAATATTTCCTTATATGGAATGATATCAGTAAAATTCCTGTTAGCCACTTAAGAAAACCTGGGAAAATTTACAGAAATTGAGCCATATCCTGAAGTCCAAGATATTTTGAAATAAGCACTAAATACTTCCTCTCTCTTTTCATGCCTTGTAAATTAAATGGCGCTAAAATGTGAGTTCAGGATATAAAATTTTCAAAACTTAAGTTTGTAAGCTGCATGAAAAATGGTAATTAATTGAAGAACGTTGCAAAAGTGTTGTCGGAAATTTATTCAGGTTATTATTTATACTCTTCCCCCCGACAGTTATTGTAAAAAATTACTTATTAAATTATTTATTTTATGACAAATAGAAGCGGAGTAAATACGTCACTTTTTAAATTGATTTCTGTTGCGAAGTTTTAACTCATTTTAATGAAATACGAATTGTTCAGCATTTAAAATGGAGATGGCGCCACGTCCATCTTGTTTACGTTATCCTTTATTTTTTGTTATCGAGTTTCCGACCTTGAGCTAGTTTTGGCTGTGTGTAACTAGATGGCGCTGATGATTTTGCACTCGGTTTCGATGGGGCCTTTACGTTCCGTTGTAAACATTTCGCCATATTCGTTGTGTACGTCCGTGGGAGTGGTGGCAAGATTTTGCGGAAGATTTAAAAGAATCGACTTCTAATGTTCTGTTAGTGGTTATTTCGTTTCTTCTTTGGATTCTTTCTATGTTGGTGTATTAATTAACCTTCAGCTGTATGACTTGGTTGTTCTATTATTTTTTCATATCGGAAAATAACGTTTTTTCTCGAAGATGACGGATTATAAAAACACCGGGAATTACAACGATAATCAGCCGTACGTTGTCGGCATACTTTCGCCGTCGACTACGCTGTATATCGACCAAGCCCCTACAACCAGGGATACTGTTCCTCCGAATGATTTAAATCTCAGACGAAGGAATACAAATTCTTTTCAAATTACCAGTGTTACAGTGCAAGGTTCTCGGAAGAATGACGACATAGCGGACGATAGCGCAGACGATTTGGACGAAAGTCACACCGATGATTTGAGCTCTGATTTTTTGGATTCTTCCCGAGCTGATAATGAAGTTTCCCCTGAAGACAGCAATCCGATTTGTGACGATCTATCTCCTTGCGGTCCAATAATATTTGCTCAATTGCCAACAAGTGTTAGGGATCCGAATATGAATCTTAGTCTTGGAGTGACACCCACATTTACGGCTATAGGGCCGAATGTTGTGGCCGGTGGTGTGACAATGATGACAAGCAAATCTGAGAGTCCAATCAGTGCTCAAGTGCCCATTATGAATCCTCTACCTGATAATTGGCAGAGACGTTTTAAAGTGGTAAAGATTGTTAGTAGCGAGCCGTTTAGAAGAGGACGTTGGTTATGCATGGACTTTAAAGATCCCCCAGCTACAGAGCCAGCTGATTTGAAGAATGGAAACAACGGTACGAACACTCCACCAACGATTCAGATTACCAACTACGATGCTGATCTTAACCAGGGGGATATGTTCGGAATGGAAAATTATGCCCACGTGTATGAAATACCTATTAATCAAACTTTTAATGGTAATTTTGTGATGGGAAATCAACAACAAATGTATGGTATCATTCTACCGCAAAGTAACCATGTGCAGCCAGTAACTTTAGTTCAAGATCTTAGCTTACAAACTACTACAACTGATAGAAATTTCAATAATATAGTAAATAACCAGAATATACTAGTTCATGCAATTCCTCCACATGTTCCCGAACCGGTGGTACCTCCACCTGCACCTTTCTCTCAGCGAGCTCCATCACCCGTGCCTACTCTCATTAACAATTGCATTCCAAACCAGTCACCGCCTTCTTCCCAAAGTGCCAATGATTACAATATCTCATCTCAGCCCGTCCTAAACCACATCAACGCTGTCAGCAAAGTCAATCAAGAAATTACTGTTTCTCGTTCGAGGACTAATTCGGAATCGAACAGTATCGTTAAACAGCTTGCAGAAAAAGTGCCGGTGCGGATAGACCAATCAGCTGTTGAGCCTGCGGATACTGAAAGGTCAGTTACTTTTGTATTTTTGTGTTCTTTTTATTTAAAACTAAAATTCTTGCACTTAGAGAGCATGTTTAGCATTAAATGGCGTACATGTATTAATAATAACTTTATTTTCATGAGATATCGAAACAATTAGAATGTCGCTTCATACACATAAAATTACGGGATGACAATATTGAACTTTTATCTCCCAATTATTCTGAAGATAGGCTTGTCGAACATTAATTCCTCATGACCGAATTTTCGGTATAATTTATAATGAGTCAGGATTTTGCTATATCAAAGAACACTTTTTAACTCGACGTTTAATCGCGTACTTTTCTAAAATATGTTTTTTTAAATGAAGCATAATGTGAAAGCTTTTAGCTCCATAAAGTAAGCTAATAAACGTTGCACCATAGCTAAATAAAATGTTCTGTGGAAAATTAACTATAACTATTTTATTAAAATAGAGCTACTTTCAGCTGCAAATGGTTAAAATGCAGATTTTTAAGTACTATGGGAATGATAATAGTTAGCATTAAAAATAATAAACTTGTATTGGAGAAAGGCAAAATTATTATTGTGTACACTGCTATATTAGCGGCTAACATATTTTTATTTTGTATAATTAATAATGTTATTAAATTTTTTTTAATATAATCATGAAAGATCTGTTCTACGCCTAGTTGCATTAAATTTCGTTTTAGTACTGGTATATATATCGAGCTTTAACGAAAGTTTCCCGCCACCGCAAATATCGTCTGCGCAAACAGTTCGCGTTGGCCTGTTTAATCATAGTTTGTCAAACGACTTTTTGGAATTTTAAAGAAAAAGACTTGCTTTAGAACACTAGGTTGAGAAATTTGTAAAGAAATATCCTTAAGTATACGGTGTCTGAAATGGAACTATCACGCTACCGGATTAGAACCGTAATTTACTCCCAGTTCTGTTGCAAAAAGTCAAATTACAGAATGTCGCCAAATCATGTGTATAGCTTTAGGTATTAATGTTGTATCACATGACACTGTGAAGGTTTGGTACCGGAAGTTCAACAAGGACTGTGTAAGTTTTGTGCGCCGAAGACTTTGAAAAACTACGAATACATTGGCAGAAAATCTTAGATTTTGGTGGTGGTTATACTCCCATTAAAGTTACTGCTTTCATTTTTTTTTTTTTTTTTTTTTCCTACCTTCGTTTTTTAACGGAAAACCTTCGTTACAACCAAATATAATACTGAGCAATTCTAATGCTTCGTTTTAGAGATTATTTTAAAATAAATGATTGTAATGGTTCTGAAATTCAGTATCTTTTCACTAATAAAATTCCTCACTTGATATTATTTTCCTAAAAAAAATAAGCCTTTGATAAAATAATATTTAAATGATATTTTATATGCATTTAAAAATTGGCTCTTTTTGTCTAAATGGGCTTGATGTTTTAATGATTTTCTATGAATTAATTTTTATTGCATGAAACGTTATGCATATCGAATATATATATCTTTAAAAACAAAGGGATTGTAAAATAGAAAAATTGAACTTTTGAAATGCAGTTTCGGGTTTTTAATTTTAATGGAATTTTATTTTAAACCTCTGACTGTATTTTTTCCATTTTGCATGTTTGCCTGATAGTTACCAATACATTAATGGTTAACAGATGTTTCCAGAATGGTTTGAAACATTTAATGCAATCGAATATTTACAACGCTTTAATAGTGCTCAGAACTTTCAGCATAATATTAGAAAGTAATTCTTAGATCGGTCTGCAAAATATTGATCGAATATTCGGTATATGAAATACGTGCGATCTCTATGTATGCCAAATATATATTTAAAGAATTTTGTTGTGTAGGAAAGTTATTTAATTGAGTAAAATGTAACGTTTACGCCTAAAGGTTTCGACCACGGTTGTGTACATTAAAAAAACTTTAGATTCGAATATTTTAAGTTACATTTGCTAACTATGCATACAGCTCGACAATGAATGTAAAGGTATTATCGTATAATTGTACATGTATGTATTACATGCATGTACAAGTAGTTTTTTCAGTTGTATGGACTCTATGATATAATGTCGTATAATTGTATATATGTTCCGGATAAGCATATTAGCATCTAAAAATAAGATTCGTTGGCATCGAAGTTTGCATTATAAGAGTTACTTTATTTGGTACTTTTCTGTTATCGGGACCAGATTCAGGAAATGTGTGTATGTATGCACACACATACATTTTTGCGTACAGTATATACGTAAACACATCCATACATGCATTCATACATGCATTTCTGAATCCGGTCTTGATAATAGAATAGTACCCTTTATTTTAAGAACGAGAATCCCGATGTGTATGCGTGTTCGTCGGGGGAAAAGTGCATAAAATCGCGCTCGAAACACATAAAAATTGTGTTTTGTATACACACGTATTGCACAATCTGTTTAATGAACCTCCAATTAAAAAATTAAATTTATTCTTGTAATTATTCATTTACTGTTCTTCCCGGAAAACGTTCTACGAATGACCATGTCTAGGACACTTATGGAATATTAATTTCAGTGATTAGAAAGCCTAGTACATGTATGTTATGCTAGGTTGTATGATAGGTGAAAGTTGGTATGTATGAATAAAAGAAAATTATACAGCACTGAGAATGAAATCTTGAAGGAGTGTTGAAAGACTGCATATTTTGTGCAGCATATGTTCTCGATGGCTAGGCTACTTCTTGTTATTTCCCTCCTTGGTATATTTTTCGTTAGTTAATATTTCCCAAAAAATTTCTTTGTTGGATTTTATATTTTTATATAAATGCTAAATAAATATTTAAAATACTTAGTTTTGAGACTTGCGATGGATTTCTTTCTGAAGATTTAATCTTGATTGATGACTGTTCAATAAGTAATGTTGTTTGATTATTAATAGCTGAAAAAATCGCTTGTATTCTATCCGATGCATCTAGACGTACATTGCTGGGGGGGGGGAGGACAGTTTATTCTCCCGTTCTACTGGGCCGATTGACGAAATTCAAATTGCGTTTTTCATCTCTCGAACAGCCGCGAACGGGCTGGCTGCATGGGCGTTTTCGTGGTTTTCCCCATGTGTAATGTGTATACGAGCCAGTTTCTCTTAGAAAGTCCTCCACGAAGGCATCCCTCCCCTTAGGCAGATAGCCCTCAAGGCTTTTGCCGTGATCACACGCACACACACCACCATCTCTCGAACAGTGTTGCCAGATCGTGCGATTTTGCGAACATTTGCGACTTTTGACAAACTTGTGCTACTAAAATTTTAGTATTTGCGATTTTGCGACTTCCATCATTTCCTTATGCTACTTTTCGCGACTTCAAAGATTCTTTTTTAATATATCGTAAAATGCTTAAATGTTAAACTATTGTATCAATTAAAAATAATTTACATTAGAGAGAAAAAAAAAAAAAAAAAACAGTTTATTTAGGCTTAAAAAGAAGTTGGCATATGGCAATCCAATTTACATGTGGGTTTCTTTAAGGCTGCACAGCCTGACCTCAGTATAACGAGAAGGGGGAAAGAACGGAAAAAAAAAATTGCTTCGGAAACTCTCACCCTCCCATCCTCTGTGTTTTGTTTTTAATTCAATTCAGTTTAAGTCTTAAGTCTGTTTTGTTTGTAAGTCGAGTTCTATGGTGATAACGAATCGAACAAAAAGAACTTGTAGCTTGGGTACCCAAACAGAGAAAGAAATGAAACACATATTGAGTACCTAAACAGAGAAAGAAATTTAACATATATTAGGTACCCAAACAGAGAAAAAAATGTAACATAATGGGTACTCAAACAGAGAAAAAAATGTAACATATATTGGGTACTCAAACAGAGAAAGAAATGTAACATATATTGGGTATCCAAACAGAGAAAGAAATGAAATTAATTCTCCTGATCATAATATTGCTAAGAACTAAGCAACACTCTAAGATAAAAACAACATAATTTAATCAATTTTAAAGCAAAAAATGTACAATTTACTAACATATAAGAGTAAAGAAACTGAGATCACTGAGCCGGGTAACAGAGTGTATATATATATATAAATATACGTTTGGTGCGGCCGATTGCAACCAAAATACGAGGTGCACATCTACATGTTATAGCAGCCCTATATACAAAATTTCAACGTTCTGAGGCTACTCGTTTTTGAGTTATGCGTACGTACGTATCTCGCATAAGATACGTTCGTAGAGACGCCACGAAAAATTCTCTTCAGAATTAATTTTAAAGCAGTTTTATAATTTTTTTGAAGGAAAAGAGTATTTTATTCTGTCCTTACGTACATATATCACGCAAAAACATCGTTAAATTGCATTCGATGGCGGTCAAAATGGATATTTTCGTTGAAATATGCTGCCTAAATCTTTTTGCGGTTACAATACTTCCTTTTTACTCGTACAAGGAAGTAAAAAGAAAAGGAAAATAGGTCACTATAAATTAATAAGTTCGCCATTCTTGGCGCAAACTGAATAAAATGCGCCAGGATAAATTTTTTTACTTCGTAAATGTCTCACAAAATTTTACAAAATTCCCCTGTTAACAGAAAAGTACCTATTAAAAATTTTTCTACATTTAATATTCGGGAAGCCTTTTATGTATAGTTGATAATGGTGACCTCACCATATCATGTTTGTCATTCACAAATAGTCAAAGGCCCACCAGCGGCCAAGCGGTAAAGACGCTGAACACTGGTAGTTCGGTTCGAGGTTCGAATCCCGCGAACGGGCTGGCTGCATGGGCGTTTTCGTGGTTATCCCCGTGTGTAACGTGTCAATGAGCCAGATTCCCTTAGAAAGTCCTCCACGAAGGCATCCCTCCCTTTAGGCAAATAGCCCTCGTGTGCTTTGCCATAACTGAATAATCCAAATCCAATCCATAAATAGTTAAACATCTTCGTTGAATTGACATCATTGTTTACTTTTTATTCCTATGGCTCTTTAAGAAGCCGAAATGGTAATGTACACTTAACACGTATATTCTATTAATTTAAATTTGCAGTTGA